AAAATAATATTGCAACATCTCCTTAATCTTCTGATATCTATATTTATCCTTTTGACATCCTTTCCTTTATGAATCTTGGCATCAGTAATCCCAAAGCATCATTCAACTTCTTATATTCATCTAATAGTTTATTTTATAAGATATACTAGTATCTCTACAGAAACTCAGTTTTGAAAATCTAAAATATCAGAGGTAGACACATTTCTATGATTATTAACCCATGATTCAAAATATAAAAAGGATTCCCATCATTAAATACACCTACCATCACTAAATCCAGTATTAATGCTATTATGCAAACACAATAATAACCATATATGCCCAACAATGGATGATGACTCAAAGAAAATCCTATTATAAACATCTATGTTTCTATTAATTTTGTATCCATCAAACCATGTAAAATTACAAAGAATATAAATCTCAAACACAATAGAAAGATTGGTTAATATTTTGATACTTTTATTAAGGGAATCAAAGTCATTGATACAAATTAGATGATGGAAATTACTAAATATGAAATGCTAAGATTGTTTATTTATTAATAAAGTCTTATTCCAAAAATTGCAATTTCATAAATTAAATAGATATAGTACTTTTAGGGTTTTAAAGAATTTTGAAAATCCTTTTCAGTTCTCTTGTCTGTAAATTTTAAGTCTTTCTCCATCTAATCAGTCATTTATTAATCTCCTTTAATCTTTTTTACCAGTAATTCATCCATAAAATCCTTCCCTTAAAACAACTTCTCTATGAATTTTTTCGGTTAATTTCGATTACTGACATTAACATCCAGATATTTTAATGCTGAGTTTATCTTTTCTATTTCGACTTAATATTCAGAATGAAAACTTATGTCATAAGGGCAAGACAAATTAAATTCAGTCAATATCAATACTTCTTAAAATATGAAGGAAATTACTACTGAGAAAATCAATCCAAAAATCCAGTATGTAAAATTCAAATAGGAGAATTGATATAAAATATCTATGGTTATTAATGCATAAACCAATATTAATAGAAATATCAAAATGATAAATGAAAAAATCAATTTTAACATTTTAACATTCTCATAGGAAGAATTAAAAAATGATATTAAATATTTCTATTTTTCAACCATTTCTATTATTAAGTAAATGAAAACCGAATAATTTTGTAGTTCTTATGTTTAGTCTGTGTCAAATATATTAAAACATATCTCAACTAAAATTGAATCTAATAATGCGACAAAGATAATCTTTAGTATTTTTATGTAAATATTCTATTATTTAATTAATTCTAATGTTTTTCTATATATTTCAAAATTATTATTATCAAATTTTCTTTGAGTAATAAATGTTTCATAATTCAGTAAGCAAGTTACAATGTTGCTTGGAATTAAATAGAATAAAATCAATTCCTCTAAAGAATTGAAATTATTTTAGTAATCTATTATATAAGAAGTAAATCCAAAAAGAAAACTCCTGTATATTTAAATTAAAATAATGGATTCATAATTTAAATAGGTTGCTGGGCAATAATAAAAGAGTAACTTAAACAATTGATCAACTTTTTATATCAAGAAATTCGGATTTGATAAAGTGCATTAAGGGTCTTATTGTAAAACATTAAATGAGTAATTAGATTTGTAGAAGAAGTACTAATTGTCTAAACCAGGGCCAATAGAAGTAATATATCTTTCAGTGATTTATAATAATTTTAAGAATTTGCCCTTTTATTTTTCATCTAGTCCATATGCTCCAACCCCAGATGAAAAATAAAAAAGAACAACAAAGTGATACTTTAAATAATCATCTTTTACAATTGTTTCCAAAGTTTGATCATTTATAATTAAAAAGTTATCCACTATTTTCTACTAATAAACCTCAAAAATATTTTATTTTTCAACAATATTTTATATAAATTACCTAAATTTAAATTAAATAGTATTGGGTTCAATGAAATGTTCAATTGACTTTTTTTCTGCAACATGATAGGTTCGCAAAAATGAAATTAACTCCTCATATGTATCCATTAAAAAACATGATTTATAATTATACTTTTATAGAGTTTGGAACAATTTATCATGATTGAGATATTTATTAGTTATTTCTTAAGATACTAATTAATTTTTAAGAGGGATGAATTATTTCAAACCAATTACAAATAACAATTCGCTTTCACTTTCAATCTACTAATATAATGAATCTAATTCTTATTCTCTGTTACCATAAGTTTCATTAATTGAATTGAGTTTAGTTAAAAATTATTCGGTTTATTAGGAATCTAATTGCTTTTTATAATATTTAATGGATTTTTGTCCATCCCAAAACATATCGTCAATAATATCATTAATGAAAGGATATCTTTCATCTTTAGAATTTGAATCATTAGCAACAATTCTGGTGTACAATAACACACCTTCCTCTAATTCAAAAGATTCAGGATCTTTAACTAAAATGGTTAGAGTTTCAGATCTATTTTCAGTAGGATGAAGAGTAGCAATGATATCAAAAACCTTAATCACTCCTTAAATTGAAATAGCTTTTTTAGTGATCTTATCTTGTTTATATTCGATCTTATAATTATCTATAATAGCACTAGATATAAATTTATAATCAAATATTTTTACAAAGTCTAAGATTGATTTGTCATATGAGTTTTTATAAATGTTTTCTATCTTTTTCTCTTCTTTGTCATACACACTTTCTACATTATTGCATAATAAAAGCATAATCAGAATTTCATTTGATACAACATCTGATTTATTTAAGAGTTTATTGATGAAATCCTATTCACTGTATATATCCCCAACAATCTAATCACTGCTTTGATCCTATTGAGTGGGAGTAATATTCTTCAAAGATCCAGTAACAGACTTCTAATTAGGTAAAATATTAGTCTACGATATGTGAGAGTTGCTTTTCTAACGTTATATTTTAGGAGAATTTTAGTAAGACATAAAGCTGCCATTGTTAGCAGGTTGTTATTAATAGAGCTATTCTTTTTGTTATTGTTAGGGTTGCATATTAGATTAAAATAGATTCCTTGCAGTTTGTTTTCTGAAGGAACTGTAAGGATTCATCTTTTGATCTCCTCCTGATTTTTTTAAATCTTTTGAGTCTTTCATCTCTTTTTATGCTTGGCTAGCCTTGGATTGATCTTTTAAAAACCCAATTTTTTAAAAGGATTTCTTCTCTTCAATTACTCTTAATGTAGGTTATTATTTTTCTGCTAATAATAGATCTATGTCTTAGGTTTTTTATTCATCATAAGCAGAAAACCTATTTGTATCAAGTAATAATTTTTCATAATTAATTTTTTATGTTGGAGTTGTTTTTTCAATTATGGCTTACAATTTCTCATAATTGAAGTAATATTTACATTTATCATGGAAAAGCATGCAAACTCTTACATTTTTCTTTAAAAGTTTCTATGGATTTTCAAAAACAACAACATCAGTTTTGATGAATTCTAAAATAGTTTGGTTACTTAATTAATGAAATAAATAAATTAAATCTTTATTTTGGTTTTTTTTAATTTATGGAAGACTTGCAAGTGAGGTATTAGCAGATGCAATTTTTTAAAGTTACACAAGTACTTTTTTTTCATATTCTTATAAGATCGGATCTGTTTTGGTTTATCCTTGCTATTAAATATTAGATGGAAAATGTTTTGATTATTTACTTTCAAAAAATCTTGATTATATTGATTGGATTAAAAGCCAAACTTAATTAATTAGGAAATAGTTTTAAGGAAAAAGTAAAAGGCATATTATGATAGCATTTGAGTAGGAGGCAATTTCAGAATTAGATACATAAATTAATTTAGGAATTATGAGGATAATGAATATGAGGAGAGTTATTAAAAATATAAAAAAGCTATTCTAATTATAATGATTCCAATTATAAAACCTATCTCTTTATTGAAAACAACCATGACCCACTTAGATGGCAATCCCAAAAATCCAATCTGTCTAATTTAGTATTTATCCTCTATAAATCACATTTTCATCTGTAAATTGAGTAGCCTTAGGATCGTTCTTTAGCTTAATTGTACCTCTATGAGAAGTTGAAAATTGAATCCAACCGCTTAGATTAATTAAGAATTTCGTCATAATACCTTTAGTTTTAGATGCCTGATTGACAAAAGTGCATGGACAAGGATATTTGTTGATATAATCAGCTAAGACCTGTTATTGACTCGATTCCAATATTAAAATATTTGCAGGACTCATTTCTCCTTTTAATAGACAGACAATTTGTCCAACTTTCAATTTTTGCCATTCTATCTTTTATGAGGGTTATTAGTTTTAAGTTTATAACAATTGATCTATAGGAGATAGTATTCGACATTCTTATTTATTAATGGTTTCCTCAAATTTCCATCTTTCTTTCAATAGATAAAAAAGCAAAAGAAACGAGATTAATAAATCAAGAATTAGACAAAGTATTGTATATATTATGATGTACAATTCTGAATTCAACTTATCTGGCAATAAAATCAAATATATTAAAGGATATATTGGAAGAGTTTCTAATTTGAATAAAATTCGAATTAATTCCTTAATTACTGTTGATGTCTAGTTAAAAATAAGAAATACTTAGATTAATTGAATTCGATTTGTCAAAACTTCATAATTAAAGGTTTTTTGAACAATTCCATTTGTAATTTCGATCTATATATTTACAATTGATTACTCTCATATTTTGTAGATTCTCTAATTCCAAATCCTTCAATCGTTACTAATACTTCAAAGGAATTTGTTTGTATATCTTTTCAATAATCCTATATAACATTAATAAACTTTAAATATAAAATTATCACAATTCAAGCTTAATTTTTGTATACAACAAAATATAACTAAAAGAGTGAATTCTTATCTATTATTTAGATGATAAATGCAACAAAAAGAATTCTATCTGTCATTTTTCTAAAATGAGAAAACTTCACAAAAATATTAATTAAAAATGTGTCATTAATAAATCAGATATTATTGCATAAAAATTGTTAATTAAATTATAATGAGATTGGCAAGATTCGGAATTCCTACCATTTTAAAACGATTACCATTCACTTAACTATATAAATTTAAGCCTAATGTTGTTAAATCAGTTGCCCTAGGAACCCTATTCGCAGGTCTTACATGGAAATAAGCTCTAAGATTGGATGAGTTCCAAAGCACAGTAGTCTCAGATGTCAATGAATTCTGTTGTGTACTCGTTTTGGAATTGACTGATGGAGATGCTAATCTGTAACATGAAGCCTTAAATGCTCTAAAAGAAGTACCAAAACTCGTTCAGAATAAATCCAATGAGGATGGTATTAATCATTAAATATTATCTAGATGAACTTGATCCTGTCACTGTGGGTGTTGGATTTTAAACCAAGTTTTGGGAAAAGTTAACAAGGACACCTTAAGCTGATTATGAAGCCAGAGCTGGTGCTTATGGATCTATGCCATATGGTAAAGGAAATGTGATTGTACATGTCAAAGCTCAAAATAGATCCCTAGCATTCGAAACTATATAAGTATTCTATATATGATATTCACATTTTAGAAAGTAGTAAAAAGTTTACCAAAAGGTTCTTATCGGGTAGTATCTGAAAGATATGGATATAAATATTAAGATGGAAGGGACATGAGTGGATTTTTAGATGGGACCATGAACCCTAGTCTTAAACAACAAAGATAGAAAGTTGCTGTAAACGAAAGAGGAGGCAGCTATATGATCCATCAAATTTGGCATCATAAATTAGATTGGTTAGACAAAGTTACTGAAGAAGATTAAGAGAAAATGGTGGGAAGAAAGAAGTCAAATTCGTTTGAGTTGAGGCCCCTCCCTATTGACAGTCATGTTACTAGAACCAGAAGTGAGGATAACAAGAGATTATTGATTGTCAGATAGTCTCAACCATTTGGTACTGTTACAGGAGATCATGGCTTACTCTTTATTGCTTATGCCAAGGATTTAACTAACTTTAACACTATGCTTGATAGAATGACAGGAAAAGGAGATGGAATCAATGATCAAATAATGAAGATGTCCATGTATTATGTCTTTGTTATAATAGTAACTCATATGGAAATTATTTCTATGTGCCAAGTGTGCAAGAACTATAAAAAATATGAAGAGAATAATATATAGATATATATATATTTAACATAATTTAATTATTCAACCTATAGATATCAAAATATATTCAAGTTTTGTTACTACTTTTTATTAATTTAGAATTAGTATTTTCTTTTTTTAGATATGTACACATAAGTCTTTAGGTTAAAGGTTGTTTTTAATTATATTTTTCACTTCTTGCCAACAAAAGTCTTGGTGTTTTTGATTCAAAAATACTTAGACTATTCTTTTTATTCTCATCCAAACATAGACGAGGAATATTAACTGCAGATTTCTTTTATTTAATTGAAGCAAAATAATAGTTGGCACTTTCAGTTTTAATTCGAAATTAACCATAATTTGGAGTCTATTTGTGTTATTTATTTGTCTCTTCTTTTTTTTGTTTATTATTATCTATTTCTAATACTGATCTTAATTTATCAGTATCTTAATCCTTATTAATAATCATCTTCTATTGAACCTTATTAAATAGACTGTGAGTTGATATGCTCATTTTAGCTTTTGCTTCCTTTTCAATTTTTTGAGTTGTACTAATTTTTTTCATTAAATTTTGTGCTTGTATCAATTGAATAACAGGCAAAATGGAGACACGATTACTTTTTTAAATGGTCTATTTAGAATGCTTATCACATAAAAATTAATTAAATTAATACTAAAATGAGCCGAAGAGCCTATCAAACTTAAATCTCTATTAGATGGTCTAACATTTTATGGTTATATTGACAATTAAGGTGAAGCTGGTAATCTGGATTTAATGTAAGATTATTGTGGGTCTATTAACTCTTTTTTGCAAACCAGAATTTTCTTATTAACCTTGCCACCACAGTCTAAACATTCGCAACTAGAAATTAACTATTAATTATCAAATTGATCTGTTTATTGAAATGGTATTGCAAAATTCTTAAATAGACTTTTACATCCTTTTAGTTTCAAATAGTTTACTTTTTGTAAAGCATTTATTGAATCCAAAGATTTTGTAATTGTGTTAATTATCCTAAATTGAAACTCTTTTATGAAATTATTAATGAAACGTTTTCTGTAGATCTGATTCTGGTTAAATTTCGAATAAATCCATAAATTTAACTAAAAATAAATATTATTATTTAATTATGAATTGGAAATAATTGAAGTCAGTTGTCTTTTAAAATAGAATCGTTATAATAAATATTTTGTATAATTATGAATGTATTTTATCACCATTCTGGTTTGGGTCTTTGCTTCTTTGCTATTTCTCCTCTTGCCAAATCTGGGAAGTTCTCTTCGCATGACAAGGGTACATCCTTGAAATAGTAATTGCCATAAGTATTGTTTTATCTCTCTCTCTCATATGACCATTATCTTTCTCCAAGTAAACAGTGTTTATAAAACTTAACTGCAGTCATTTTTGTAACTTACCACCAGAGGTAAGATGCTCCGAATAAATACAGTCCGTATCCTGCCAAACCCACGTATCCAAAACTAATATTATTGATTCACATTCACTTACTTGTAAAAGAATGAAGTCTGTTTGATACTAGTTATACCTCTTTATCCAATAGGCAAAAACATTTATCTCTAAGTTAAGGCAGCTTATTAATATTCACATTCAATATATACCTTATAAAAAGAATCCAGTAGTGCATATCCAAACAGGGAAGATTCGAACGAAATTGAAGCATTTCAGATCTCTCTCAACAAAATCTTGAATATTTCTTGCCACGTGAATTCTGAATACAATAAATAGCAAATATTACCTCTGTAATTTATTTACAAAATATGTTCTTGGATCTATTTGTTTACCCTCTTATGCATTTTCTTACATTATTTCAATATATCTTTTATAAGCTGGATTATCTCCATGTTAGTAAAATAACAATGGGTCATACAACTTTTGAATTTCCTCTTTCAAATTTTTGGCATCTGCTTTAGACATCTTAATTATTTATATATATATATAATTATGATTTGATAAAATAATCATTTTCTAATAATGTTTATTGGGAAGTTTAATGTCACCTTGAATCCATCGTATAATATCATAACTAAATTCACCTCGAAATCGACTAAATTAATATAAGATTCTCTATACCACTAAATTCTCTAAATTGAAAATTTGGACATGAAAAGAATTTTGGAAATATCATATGAAATGGTATCTCTAATCCTCTTGTTGCATTCCCTTCTATTATTTATATCAACTAGATTTCTGTGGCCTCACTTATTTTGCCTAAGTTATTTTCTAATTTCTCTACTCTTATTAACTATAAATCAATAGTTCTTATTTCTGAATCACATTCTTCAATTATTAAAGATCCGTGGAAATCCTCTGAAAATAAACAAATAGTTGTGTCTATTAACCCATTTATTCTGAATTTTGCATTTTATGATTTATTCATTGTGCTTGAATTTCCTAATAATTTATCAGGCGTTATCAAAAAATGCTCAACTCGAGGATATTTATCTGTTGGTTTGATTCTGTCATTCCCTTATCCAGGTACATATACAAAATATGGAATTGTTGAAGTAACTTTTAATCCATTTGCCAAAGTTAATTCTGCCTCAATCGAATATTGTATTGCAACATAAACACCAACATAGGTTTCCAAAATTTTCCTGTCTTAGTATGGAGTTAATTGATATTTGAATGGAAAAGTATTTTTCTCTTACAATCTATATTATATAAATGAATTGGATTCTACATATATTTATCCTTTGTTAATTGACCATCTAATTGATGTAATAGAACTGGATGAAGCTGACTTGACATCCTCTCTAAATCTTTGTGTGTTTCTTTATTTTAAGATATTATAGTCCCTTCTGATTTCCATACAAACTATTATATTTCAAGTTTCTTCATTATTGGATCTGTAAACAAAACAGTAACTCCTCCTGAAATTTGGTCCTATTTCAAATATAAATCATACTCCAGGCTTAAATGTATTATTTGCCTTATCAAATTTAATTTACAAAATATATTCGCTTTTCATTTTTATGCAATTTATTAAAATAATAAATGTTCAATTTACATTGATACAAATATTCGAATTTCCTTCACACAATTACATCTTATGATAATCTTGAATACAAAAATATAGAAAGTTTCAATAATTCCAGATTTCATTTAATGTTATAAATGAGAAATATTGAGGTATTTTGTCATTTATCAACATAATATATATATAATAATAGTCTAAGAATATATATGAATATGATAAATAAAAATTGATATAAGTCAGAGAAATACACTAAATTTCAGCATCTATCTTTTCAGACAGGGATAACTATTAATCATCATGATAGCTTTATGTTCTGAATAATATAAATATATCAAAAAAATGAAGTATTTTATAATTATGGTTTATTATTATTTATTATTTATTAAATGTTTTCGAATTAAAGTGAATACGATCTACGAGTCTTTTTGTCCTCCTATTCAGATGCTTTGCATTGTTTAAAATAATCAGCAGATAAATCAACATTAAGAAAAAACTATGAAAATATTGCAAATCGACTCACTATTTATGTGAAACAAAAGAAAGTATTTTATTAACAAAAGGTAGATGTTTGGAGAAGTAAATTTATCTAAAAGTGAAGAGAAAGACATATTAGCATTTCAATATACGCAGTAAGATATTAAAATGTATAAAATTAGTTATATTTTTTTAAAATATTTACCAGATTTTGACAATTTTAAGGGAAATTATGAATAGTTATAGACAATCCTAAATAATTCATTTAATTCTCTATCTTCAGATTAACATTTGTATTCATAGTAATAGTAAAAATAATAAGCCTAATGATTTGAATATAACAAAATTCATATTATAATAAGATCATCATCTTCATCCCTTGATCCAGTATTGTTATTGGGATATTGGGAATTTTAAGGGGATTTCTTTTTTAGGCATTTAGATTTCAATTATTACATCCAGTTCCTAATTATCTTGTGAGGTGGTACTACAGCTATTTTATCAGTTTTGATAAATGTTGAAATTTTTTGGGCTACATTATACATAAATAAATTTGATTCTTTGATTGAAGTGACAAAATTTTAACTTAGAGTTATTTCCTATTTTTAATTAATTTATGTTAGAGTTCTTCAAAATAGAAAATAACTGTAATACTTTTTTGTAAATTGATATATAGTCTTTAAATTATTGTAAGTAGTTTTGGTTAATGATAAATTCTATAAATTTGATGATAATTAGAGTTTTTGATTTTGATTTGAGTTGTCCTTTTTATGTCTATCATAGAGTGTAACACTCTGATTCCTACGAGGATCCACATCATTAAAGAAATCCTAATATTCTTGTAAATCTGGTTATGATTAAGTAATAGTATTAGGCGTTTTATTAATAATAAACATTATTATTTATTAATATTTTATTATGTAACAATAATTATTAAAGCCTTAATCTAAAGAACATGCCCTACAAATATTACAATAGGGATTCCAAATGTATTAACAACAAGGACACATGAGTTTCAACGAGAATGCTAATGTAATTTAATAACCAGAAAGAATGAGTTTCAATGATTAAAAGATGAAATCTCATCCAAAAGTTCATAATATTTTCGATAGTCAAAGGAGAATAAAAAATAATTAACATCAGATTGAACAAAGTATAGTTGGAAATAGATTTGAAATTCCTGTTTTACCATCGGGTAAATATCTCAAATTTAATGTTCTCTCAAATTGGGGAGATAAATAACAAGTTGGTCTAAATGGGATTGAAGTCTTTGACTCACAAGGAGGTAATATCACTAGATATATTAAAATGCCAATGCAAGATGAATACATAGAGAAATTGAAATTGATTGACGGTTACTAAGCTGTTAAAGATGATAAACATATTTGGAAAACAAAGAATTTGAAACCAGAAATCATTATTGATTTAACTGCAAATATCAAAATATCTTTGATAAGAATTTGGAATTACAATAAGTCAAGGATAAGATCCTATAAAGGTGTTAGATCATTAAAGATAACTTTAGATGAGAGATTAGTAAACTATTTATGTAATATTTTAGTTAGATATTTTATGGAGACATCCAGAAAGCAACAGGAGATCTAAAAAAGTTCTAAGATAATTGTGAATACATATTATTTACACAGGATTCTAAAATAATAAGTAGAATTGCAGAATTAGATTGGTTAAACAAAAGAGCTGAAGATTATTCTATCCAGATTCTATAGTAGACTATGAGTATGCAGTAAAATAGACCAAACACAGGGACTAAATTATAGGCATAGAATACAAGATAGTAATAAAATGAATAGTCTCCTTCATCAAAGTTATATTCATCTAGAGTTTATTAGCTTTAAAATAATGATTAATAACAATAGCCACTCTAAATTTAAAGACAATAGCAATAATATAAAGAGTAATATATTTAGAGGACTTCAAACAAACAAGAAAAATTATAAATGCAATATCCAGAATACCTTACTGTTTCTGATATCTTATTGGAATTTAATAATGGATCAAAGAGATTTCTAGGACTTAATGGGATAATGTTGATTGATGACAGAAATCAGCAGATTCATTAGGAAGATATTTTAGATTCTAATTTAACTGATTATGACATATAACGACTGTTCTATTCTAATAATCCTACTCTAGTTGATTCATCAAACATGGTTTGGCTAAAACAAAAGAAAATTTATTTCAAATTTAAACAGTTGACAAAACTATCAATGATTAAATTTTATAATTGTAATCAACTCATAAGTGAATCAACATTTGCTGGACCAGAAATAGTCAAAATTACTTATAATGGGAGATTCAAAATATTTAGTAATTATTTATTATATCAATAGATTTAAGACCTGCTCCATGTGAAGAAATTAATTTTGTATAAACACTTATTCTGACTTAACCAAATAATAATTCTTATACTGGAAATTTGGTGTCTAATTATGAATTATTTAACTAAAATTATATAATAGCTTATCCTCCTTGTGGGATGCTAGTCACTATTTATTTGTTTAATACTTGGGGAGATAACAATTATATCGGTTTAAATGGATTAGAGATTTATGATCATTAAGGTTCAGCCTTATTATCCAGAAGAATAATTCCCTATACAATCCATTCAGTTCCTCAAGTAATTCAGTTATATTATAATTCTAGTTGGAAGATGATCCAAGAGTAGTCTAAAATTTAGTGATTCCTCCTCACGATATCACATGTTAACCTTAGAAAAGCTTCTTGGCTCCATTCATAAACACTCCAATGGAGAAACTCAAAAATAAAAATGCCATTATAATCTAAAAAGCAAGAGATTTGGAGAGACAGGATATCAATAAGATATATGTGTTGTTTGATAAACTTACTTGTTTCAGTGGAATCGATTTTTATAATTATACAAAGGATTGGCAAAGAGGTGTAAAGCAAGTGCATATCTATATAAATAATAGATTGATATATCAAGTACTTATTTAATATTAGATGTAGGGTAACATTAATCAAACATTCCAAGATATTAAAAAGAATATATTTAATAAAACTACTATATTATTTTCAGATTCTAACTAAGTTAAGCAATAACTAAATCCATATTTCTATTAATTTCCAGAAGAGTAGGTTTCTTTAATTGATGAGAATAGATAACTAACTTAAAGAGAATATTAGCAACATTTCCCATAACAATTGATTAGACCTAAAACCAGTGTTAAATGAGGATATTTTTACATTCAATATATATATATATATATTTTAAAGAAATTCAGTTTTATTAAATTTCTATTTTTCAGTTTAATTAATGAAAGTTTTAGAATAAGAATTTATTATAGATAATGAGCATTTGCAGTAATCAATGTGTTAAAGAAGACTGGGATGAAAAGAGTACCAGCACAGAAGAAAAAGATGATGAGACTTTCTTTGAAATTGAGTAATATTGTATTAATAACTTAAGTGTTAAACCTAAAAAAAAGAGATTTGAAACTATTGAACAAAAAAAACAATATATTGAAGAGTATACTAAGAAAAAGAAAACAGAACTTTGTAAAAATTATGAAGCTTTGGGATATTGTAAATTTGGAGATGAAGTATAACACATTTAATATCTTATAGTGTTCCTTTGCACATGGTCAAAGAGAGTTATAACCAAAAATTCATTTACATCAAAATTATAAGACTAAAGCTTGTGTCAGATACTTCAATGAAGGATTCTGTCCTTATGGTTTACGTTGCCAATATTTACATAATGAAATCATAAATCAATAAAAATTTGATCGATACTTACTGAATTGTTACAAACAAAATGGGATGAAACCGCCTATTTCTTAAAGTAAATTAAAAATCTAATTTAGAATTTTTAAACACCTCAGACAGATTGGACATTTAAAGGTTTTAATAGATTTTCAATAACTTTTAAAAACAAGGACTTACTATTCATCTTCATAATAGGTCTAAGTTTCTTAAAAATTTAGAAAATTAGTAATCATTATCATCTTGAATTAATTATATTTATTTTGTAAATAATAAATTATTATAATATGTCAACACTTTATCTTACAGGACCTCAACCTACTTATTATTCATTAGATAGTAATGTTGCTAGGAAATTAAAGGACATTTGTAAGGAGATGGAAGTTTTGATCATCAATACTAATTCTAAGTTTTCGAGCCTATTGTAAAGTCAGTAAAATAGCTTTTATAAGGCATTTAAATTGGTTGTCGAACAAATGTCTGCAGATTTTAAGAATTTGTAATAAAAATTTGATGAATACATTTCATATCATGAAAACGAGACAGAAGTAAGATTATTTAGTAAATTTGGTTAGGTAGTCAAAACTTAAAATAAATTGATTTTTTTTAGAGATGAATGTCAGGTTCTCAATAAATTATGTATAGATTTGAAACACCAAAACCAAGAGTTAAAATAGAAAGTCAAAGATCTTGAATAAGTAATATAATTATTTTATATCGAAAGGAAATCAACAATCATAAATTTATACTAGTTAAATAAATTAGTAAGAACTCAAAAATAAATGAAGAAATGGAGATTATGAAACTACAAATGTAATTAGGTTAACACTCTTAATAAATTAATAAGAATGCTGATTAGAATGTCACAAATGACAAGAAACTAAAAGTTCCCCATCTAAAATTAAATAATAGATATCACACAGAATTAACAGATTATGATCATTAAAGCATTAGTACTTTCAGCAATAAAAATTAAATTATTAATCTTTAAAAGGATACTAAATAAAGGAAAAATCTATCATTTGTTAACAAGACAAGTGAAGAATTAACTAATGCTTAATCAAGCAAATAACACTTATATCATATAGGTTAGAATAATATTATTAATTTTAGATCAATTTTTTGAGAAATCATTTAATTCCAGAACAAAATCACAACAACATACTTTAAAAAAGTTAGAGCAAACTGAACTAAGTTAAAAGGTTCCAGAAAGGAGTTCATCAAATTTAAAATATAACAAAGTAAGTACTTAATATTACAAAAATAATCCATCCATTTCCTGTTGATTATAATATTATTATTCAATTATTTAATAATATTTAAAAAGAGTAAAAAATAATTCTAGATGAAGAGTTGATTAAATATGTATCTTAATAATACAAAATTTAATAAAAAATAGTTATGTCATTATTTCTTGTTTTCTATGTTAATGTAATTTATTAATTACAATAAATAACAAAAAAAAAGTCATTGATTTAATATAAAGACAAATGATGTAAATAAACATGTTCTTAAACTAATCAAGACAACTTTTTATAAATTGCATATCTTCTTATATAAAGGGCTTATGAAGCAGCTACAATAAGGAGTATACTTAAGGTTATGCATGTAAATTTAACAATATGCGATTAAAAATCTACAAAAGAGAGTTTTCGTATATGTTCTCTATCTACAATTAATAATTATTCTCTAGAAATCTCCTATTACAATTATTCCATCTATTCCAATGTCTCATTAATATTTAAAACATGTTGCTTTTTAGGTAATTAATCTTGATCATAGATTTCAGCACCTCAGAATGATAATGAATATTCTACCACTTTCATAAAATAGATTAAAAGTTGCAATTTCAGAATAATCATCCACTTCAAAACACAAAGAAATCTCTCCTGATTCTTACATTACATGATGGAATTGTGTAACTACTTGACTTGAATACTCTATTATTGTATTTTCAATTTCTTGTTAATTGACTACCTTTATCAATATTTATTTATTTCATACATTCAAAGTAAAAGTATATAATAAAGTGGATGATTCATATTATCCATATATGAGAGTATTTTATGAAACATTATCCTTAATACACTATTAATGGCCAGGTGGTATCTTGAATTTCAAACTTATTGATTGCACTTCTATTAGTAATAATAAAAATTATAATAACATATATTAAAATAAAAATTTGTGTTGTTTTGTATATTTATGAAAATGTGGAGTGTCATTTTTAATAGTAATTCAATAATATTGATAATTATTAATAAATCAATGATTATTGTTTTATTTATATGTTTGAATTCCATTCCAGAATGATCCTAAACTTCCAATAAATCCATCATGTTTTATAAAATATGGCTATATTAGATTTATGAACTTACATGTCTATTTTATTAATCTAATTTTGAGAAATAGGAGAAAGCTTCACTTATACATTACAATGTTTCTTCATGATTTCTAATAAAGTGTCCTGAAAAGAATACTCTATCAATGTTATGTAATTTTGAATGTAAGAATGCTATTTAACTGATGTTGTATGTAGTCATATAGAGTAAAGATTTGACGAGATCTGATTAATTAAGATTAGAATTCTACTTCAATTTTCCCATACTGACAGCTACATGCTTTTCATTTTTATCTCTTGTTGGAGATTAAAATCCCAAATGTACTTCGTCAATTAATAAATCTGTTGCTGCATTCGATCCTCTTTTTGTCATCTTCAATAATTCATCAAAGTCATTAATGCCAGTAAATAGATGACTCAATCCTAAAAACATTCCACCGCCTAAACAAGTGCCTGAGATTCTAGCAAATTAATCTTCATTATCGAACTTTAATATACTAACTCCACTTCCTATATTTACTAATATGAATGGATAAATTGAAGCCTAAAATTTATTTTAATTAAAAATACCGTCAATTACAAATATTCAATACCATTATTAAAGGTAAAGTATGTATTTTTGTATTTGATGCTGTCCAACAATTTGAAACCGAACTTTAGAGCATCAAATTCATTTATTCTGACAATCTTTCCGTATTTTGAAATTTAATCATAATACTTAAATGAACCTCCACCTGTGATATAAAATGTTTAGATATGTGATTCTCCATCTACAATAAAACCTATTTGTTCTAAGTTTTGAATTAGTACATCCAATGAATTAGGATGAGATAGAAAATGAATCTCGTAATCTTCATTCTCATTTTAGACTATGAATAATAATCTTGAATCTCATACTTTTAAGTTCTTATTTTGTTTGACAATTTACTATGAAATCTTTCTTGGCTGCAAAAGTTACTTTTGTCAATGTTCCACCAATGTCTAGACAAACTAAAGGTATCAAACTTTGAGAAAATGATGGTTTATTTTACATCTTTTTATAAATATTCGAATAATGAAGTATCATCCATTATGTAAATATATGAAAACATTTATTTCATCATGTTCTAGGATGATCCTAGAAGTTATAAAATTGTTAAAAACTGGTTTCTTTATATGATATTAATTGCAGAAAAACCATCATATGATATAAAATAGCATCATGTACTCTACTGAGAACTCAAGTTATATCAAAATTAATTGTCACTCCTTAAAATTTATAACCTTAATCTATATTCTTAAACTAATGGAAACTTGATAGTGGCAATTAACTAATATTATCTTTCTCCTATAACCACAGATAGTTAAACTTCTAAGAGAATAATTGGATTGTTTAAGTATTTTATAATAATTCTTATAAAATAAGATAGATTCAAAATATTCATTAGTTCAGAAAATCAAAAAGGTTCGATTTGTAAATTTGGAGTAATGGATAGTCTTCTGACTTTAATAATTACTTAATATTTTATAATGATGGAGAAGTATTCTGGATTTAGTAAAGTGATGCTAAATGTGTTTGGTCAAAATGAAACTTGGGTATATTATAATAATATTAATGCTTTCAACATAAGTATTTAATTCTTTTGCTTAAAGATAAAGCAATGGAATAATCAAACTATTGGCATATGGGGTGTTCTTTGGAGGTGCTTATGGTTGTGCTTGGCATTAATGGAAAGGAGGATAGCAAAAATAATTATATGAGAAAGTTGAAAATGAAATTACAGAATGGAAACCTGTTAGTATAAATGGACTGAATGCAAGCAGATATCCATGGGCTTCAAATATAAGAAATTGGGAGTATAAATTAGTGAAATTGTATGGATATTTCAGAGTAAGGATTGTAAGTTATGAAAGGATGAAAGATTTTTTGTGAGAAGAGAAAGAGAAGGCAGAGATGGATTCCTTGTGTTTGCACCATTCGTAACAGCATTGCAATTTAATGATACTGAACAAGATCCAGAATAAACAACCAAATCACAAGTGATGGTAAATTTAGGATGGGTGCCCAAGGATAACATTAGTGATATCTAAATGGGTTAAGAACCTATTGGAACAACAGTACAATGATTTGTATTCCATAAGACCTATGATAACGTACCTCATAATGAGGATGATGATTAATTGACAGGTTTCAATAGAAATATTGCCAATATGGAGGAAGATTATCAAATGCCATTTGTAGAATTCGTAGGTATGGTGAGAAGAGGAGAAGAGGAAGACATATTAAAAGGAAGAAGAAATTGGCCAAGAGAGGGAGTCTACAATTATATCGATCTATGGTTCATGTCTAGATTATACAGATCATTCAATTTAGTAAATAATCATATTAAATTAGACTGATTCTTCAGCTGCATACATTGAAAGATTAGTATAAGAATATGACGAAGAATCTGCTAACTTATATCCTATTCCTGCAACCAAAGACAACTTTGATAAGCCTCTACCTACTCCATAGACTCATTAAGCATATTCATTGTTTTTTGGATTGTCATCAATAATGTCATTAGCACTATTGGCTATAAGGAGATGATTCAATTTATCATAAATGCAATAATAATAAAACATTAATATATCACTATAACCGAATTCATTCGAAAGCTACAATCTATTTCCCAGCACTTTTATTCTACTCCATTTCTGTATGTAATCTAATGAATTCATTAATTCCATTTTGATCCCATTTTATATTTGTTACAGAATCCACTGGGATATCAATTACTCCATTAGCAATAGATGGTAAAACATTTTATTTAAATTCTTCTATAAGATTCTTCTTGAATTCATCAGGTCTTGACCTATTCAAGTATTTGTTACTTTTTACCTCAATGTAGTATTGATTAAACTTATTCTCTTATGCAATAAAGAGGCTAAATTGAAATTTTCAACCAATCCTCCTGTAATTAAACCATACAATATCCATTTTCCATCTATTGCTAAACTATCAACAGTTAACTTGTAATTTTGTTTTCCTATGCAATCAAATACTGAATTCACTCCTTATGGACAAAGAGTTTACAATTATTTGAATTATTCTTCAATTGTGTCATCTCTTATGATAATGTTCTTGGTGTATTTTTTAACAGTATCAACCTTTCCTTTAGAGCAACTAGCTATTGCATTGATTCCAAAGATGTTGCACAATTGCAAAGCTGCTTATCCAACCCCTGAAGCTGCAGCATAAATTAAACATGAGTCTCCTTTTCTTAAATCCGATAATTTATACAAGAGATAAGCAGTCAAATACACCTCACAGATTCCTCCAGCCTATTTTAACATAATATCATTACAATTTCTAACGGAATGTTAGCAGGAACATCAATCAAATGATCTTTGTTGACTACTACAAATTAAGAATATCCACCTCCTGGCAAGATACTCATAACTTTTCTTGTTCTGTTTCCATTTTCATCTAGTTCATAACCAGCAAATTCCAACCCTAATATAGGTGTAACTCCCTTAGGTATGGAATACAACCCTTATCTTTATAAAGTGTCTGCTCTGTTTATTGAAGTTGATTTGATCTCAACTAATGATTGGTTCTCTAGTGGTTTTGGTATTTCTGATTCTCCTAGTTTTAGGACTTATGGACCACCGTATTCTGTTTAAGTGACCTTTAAGTGATATTGATAAGTACATGCTTCATTTATGGAATTAGAAATTTATAATTTATGATAATATTCAATTTCAAACTTTAACTTTCTTTAATATTTCAGGTTCTTCAGTTCCAACACTTTCTGATTTATTCATTTGTTCATCTGTATTGTTTTATTATTCTTATTCTAATTTTTCACCTTCTAAAAATTAATCAATTTCATTCAAAAAATCAAGTTCTACCTTTTCCTTTACTTTTTCTGCTTATTTCCTAGCCTTGTAATTACCTTTTGCCTATTATATTGAATTCTCAATATTCTTTTCGTTTTATTAGTTTCTTCTAATATAAACCTAATCCAATTTGATATTGCTTTCATTCGCTTTTAATGTTGCTTAAGTTAATTCAACTTAATCCCTTTCCTTCTTAATTTTAGTTGGCTCATCCTTTTTATTCTAGAAATAGTTGATTAAATTGATTGTATTCTTAGAATTAATAATCCTTCTACCATCTCTATCTCTGGATTGATCCCAATTGATAATCTTTCTTCTAGTTTAAGCTTAATTTTTCAATAATGACCCAAAACCACCCTTACCACCTAATAATATTGATGATTTCCTTACCTTGCAATCCCAAAAACAGAGTTATAGTACATAAATCACTCAATTGAGAAATATTTGACAACAGTCTCCCACCTATATGATATTTTTGCATATCTTCTGGAATTCCAAGTTCGTGACCTACAAAAACCTTTATATCACTAATTTCAGATCCTCTGAAATGGAGTTGATTACCTTCTGGAGTTTAAATAAATATTGAATAAGTCATTAATAATAATATAAAGAATTATCAAACATTTTTGTATTTGTATTCTTTTTCAAAAGAATTCAGAATCTTTTTTTTGATGCTCGTTAAAAAGTACTATGTTTTAGCATAAAGTCCTTAATTCTTTTACACTGACTAGAAATTTGTTAGACACATATATCATACATCCTCTTAATGCTACTTCAATTTTACTATATTTTCATCTTATATTTATTGCAACTTCATCATTTACTTTTACATCTACTCATACTTATCATTAGATATATGCCACTAAGCTGAACTGCCTCTTCTGTTAAATCTATTGAAAGAAAACTATTTAGCAATATCCAAAACCCTCTATTTCATTCTACCAAATATTTAATTCTAAGATAAATTCTATTATTAATTCTAATGTAGGGATACTTTCTAATTAAATTAAATTAATTTATTACTTCTAAATTTTCAGCCCAATGAGGAACTTTCTTATTATTACAATACAGTCTCCTTTTTTTGGGAGTGTGTTAATTTTTGTTCTCAATGTTTTGTATGTTAGTATGTATGTTTTAACTATTTGCACAGAAATCTTCTGGAAATGGAAAATCGAATACTGAAGATTGAAATTGAAATCCACACTCTTACATTAAATTATCATCTCCAAAACTGCTACTCTTCCATTTATATGAATGATGATCCAAATTTGAAGATTCATTTGTATTATAAGAAGTAGCACGATATTCAACTGAAGAATTCTCATACCACTCTGATTTACTTGAAGAATCCATAAGCTATTATTCTTCCTCTTGCTCATTAATCACTATCTGTTGCTTGTTTGAATAAACTAATATATCCTTATATCCTGATGATCCTTTATACTCATCATAAATTTCAATTGATTTCAGCTTTGGAATTAATTCTATAGGATCTACAGATTCTATTAATTTCATCAACTCTCTCTATTCCTCTGCTTCTTTCTACTTATCTACCTTTATCTAGGAAAGTTACTAAGACAATAAAGATGGCTTTCTTATCTAAATTGGTGTTAAATTTTCAACTTGTTTAACATAGCATTTTGGATATTCTTCTGACAAAATATTATTTGATTTCAATATACTCTTTCCTTTCATCTCACTTGCTTATCTCAAAATTATGTCAGTTGGACAATTTTCTTTCTACTTCTAATTTTCCATCACTTCATCATTAAAAAAATCAGGTTATACAGTCTTGAAGAACTATTCATTTAAGCACTCCTTTGTTTTTGAATCCTTCTAGCCATCATCTTCTTGTTCCTCTATAACTGCTTCTAAGTGTGATTGTTTCTAAGAGCATGACATTAAGAAATTGATTATCTTCATTGTTTAGCCTACAGTCTCTAATACACTATTTGTCACTAAAGTCATTCTTTATTGAGTTTATATGGTAATAGCAGATGTGGCTGCTGCAACATGGATTGAGAGTGCTAATATTTCTTTTGAAATCTCCTAATTCATTTAAATTTTAAATAATATTATAACAAGCGCAAAATTAACATATATTATTATATATTATGAAATGAACAAAGTAGAGTGAAGATACCAATCAAAGTGATGACTATAACTAACCGATTACTATCAACTTTTTTGAAGAAATTAAATGCCATTGAGATGGAGACATTATTTTTGAAATCAATGAACATGATATTTATGATCGTTCATTCTCTTAATCTATTAGTTTAAGAGTCAAAGAGCATTAAGGCACAGCGTTCAAGAAATTAAAAATCAAACTGATACTCAATCTATTAAATCCTGCAATTTATCTTTAGAAAGATTTGGATAATAATTATATTTAAAAATACTTAGAGTCTTCAGATCAATCTAATTTGTAAGCGATCTAATTCAAAAACATAATAACTCAATTTCTTATGGGAATAATTTAGATAAAAAATAATGATTAAGAAAAATGATACTAAATCTTGTATTCATAATTTTGTGAATAAAAAAAGTAGTTTTCAAGGTTATAATGTTAAAATTAAAATTTATTATATTTAACATAGATTGTCAGTTCATTATCCATTCTTCTAATTCATATTTTGATTAAAAATATATTATTATTATTATTATTATTATTACCAACGAAACATCATCATTTATTACTCTTAATTCATTGCTCCATAATGAAGATAATTTTAATCTTGATAATATAATTATGGCATTTGTTTTTGCAATAACAACTGTTATTATTATTAATAATACATCATCTATTACATCATCATAACCTAAAACTATTCTTATTACATTTATTTTAATCCATTGTCACTTTATTATTATTTTTGAGGATTGTTAGTTATATTTTAACTTTTGGTTTACGATTTTTGATTTTAATTTTTCTAACTATTTTTGATTTGCTTGTTCTTTTCAGTCTATAATATCTTTTAAGTATATCTTTTGACATTATAGTTTGCTTAAGCAAACTTTTACACAATCTAACCATGATTATTTAATTAGTTATTATCTGAAAATTTATTTAGTAATGCCAAATATTCCTGTCTTAATGGTTAATCTAAATATTCAAATAGTCTTTGAATCGGATAATTTGCAAACTAATCATTGACCAATCTTTTAAAAGAGCTATAATCATAAAGGATAGTTGCTACCTTTCTGAGACTGTGACTTCTTCCCATAATCTTTACCTCCATTAAGAGCCTCCATAAACAATGGCTTTTTCTGCTACATTGCTACCATATTTATCCATAGACATTGGTATAAAATCCTTAATGAGGTACTAATCCATCAACAATCTTTTATGAACCTCTTACCCTTTCTCCAATATTGATTATATAATATAATTGGCATATTATCTTCTGGTTAGGCCAGAACTATTTTCAATTGCTCTTGTTATGATCTCATTGCATAAAGTCTTTGTTTAAACATCGAATAATTTAGGATATATATCAATAATCTTATTCACAATTAAGCATCCATATTAGTCTGTCGATAATTCAAATTTTTCATTGTTGTTGTTGAGAACCTATGAATTATTGTAATATAATACATATTTTGAAACCACTTAAAGGAGTTTATATAAATGATTCCCTTCTAAAACTTCAAGACTTTTTTAAATAATTTGATTTGCAATTTTGTCCACATAAATTTTTTTCATTTAAGGTGTATCAGAATGGATAAAATTTAGGTATTTCTCTAATTATTATGGAGAATCATTAGGATGCGAGATCATTACTTCTAATCCCTTTTGCATTACTTTACAAGCATATAGATCTTTTATTAACTTATTTATTGATTAAAATATTCTATCAAGTATTATATTTTTATGAGAAGGAGGACCTTAAAGTATTTTTATTAATAGATACCAACTTCTAGTATTTTCTCAAGCAAGAAATGCTTATACTTATCCAAACTTATATTTTCTATATCAGCTCTCACAAATGTATTGAATACATATTCTTTTTCTTTTAAATTGGCATTTTAGTACTCCAATTACATTTTTCTGGAGTTTTTGGTCAACTTCTCGTGACTTAAGTAGGATGACCTATTAGATTTTCAGTTCAATAATACATGTCAGCTTAAAATGCTGAGACAAGAGAAGGTCTTTAGGTGTCATTGATCAATACCTAGTTTAATTATTAGTTAATTTCATCAAATAGATCATCTATTAAGAAATACAAAATTATAATAACCTTCTTAATGCAGTTGATCTTCAAAAAATGCTGTACTAAAAGCTTTTGCTGCATTAGCATTTTCAAATAGAGTAGGAGTTGCAGTCGACCCACTCTAAGATGGATGACATTTTAATTCTTCATCTTCTTTATTGAATTCCTAAGGGACGTAAGGCTAGGACATGTGTTGAATTTTATAAAATAATTAATATTTATGAATAAATTCCAGCACAAAATTTTAAAATATATTGAGTAACATCAATTTATAAGAAAATCGTCATCAAAAACATAATCAAAGTAGCAATAAATTTAGATATCTTCTAATGATATTTTATGATAGATTTAATATTTATATGTAAAATAAATTAGCTTTAACAAATAAATATAACTGGTAGATAATTTAAACTCAAATAACAATTTAATTTCTATTAACATATAAATGTTAACAATTTAGAATGAACTCATAAATTAAAAAAAAGTAAATAAATGGAATAACAATGGTAACTAGATGTTATTATCAAGAAATGATTTGAACATTTATTATTATTATATTTAAAAATTATTCAATGCGTAATCTAACCCCAGAGAAAGCTTTCAGGTTAAAAAAGCAAAACATTTTCGAGTTAAATTTCAGTGAGGAACCTAAATCTAATAAAATCCACAGTAGATAAATCAATCTACAACCTTAAGAAACATTATTTTAGGCATACACTAAAAATAGAGTTATCAAGTTGAAAGAAACGCATCAAATGCATAGCAAAATCTAATCTCTCAAATCAAAACTAATTAGAATCTTTAAGGATAATAGATAGTAATCCCCTCATGATATGTTCACAGATTAATATGGAAAATAAATTTTAGAAGAATTAAAGGAATCTCATGTTTTAAATATGTCAGGGTTATAACGAATGGTAAATTCAAGCGATAAAAATCCCTTCTTCCTAAATCAACCTCGTCACTCCAGTGGGCTAAGAAAGTGTTATTTTAGATATCCTACTGATGCTGTAGAAAAATTTGATCGAAGTACTGCAGCAACTCCTTAGCCACTGCTAAGAAGGTATACGCCACTGTTGAAATAAAGAGTTAGAAATTCTGAATAATGGAATGAATTAAATGCTTGGCAAACAAAAGACGAGTCCACTACCAATTTATTTTGATTTAAAGCATTATATATAATCTATAGGTTCTTTCACCCAATTTGCATATAAGAATACAAAATAATTCTAATTATATATTATTTTACAAAAATAAAGTATCATTTAAGAAAATTGATCAACAGTTATTCCGCTTAGGAGAGTTCCTTAGTGCAAATTTACTGTTGATTTATTGATTAATTAAAAATCGACATTGTTAATCGTTTTTCAGATTACGGATTTGCTTTTGATCGTTGCTACTTATTTTAGAATAAATCCATCAATTATGTATATTGCAAATCATGATACTATCCTAATTCAGGAATATCATATATAAATGTATTTCTCGGTTCAGCATCTTGTTTATATTGACTAATAGCTAGTTCCCTTTGATAAAATAGCTCAATGTTATGAAATAGTTCTTATTAGTAATTTTTCACAAAATGATATAATTAATCATTATTTTTGATGCTTGAAAAAATTGAACTACAATTAGTAGATGCAAAAGATATTTCTGATGCCTCTAAACTTTCAGCTTAAATATTCTCTGAAGTTATACAAATATCTTCATCTAAATAAGGTATTTATTTGAATAAGGATCGTATTTTAAATTAGACATTATATTACATAGATATATGATAATTAAATCCCTATATTTAATTTTCAAAGAGATTATTACTGGAGAGTGACAAATCATCAAGATGTTTAGCTACTAATTTACTCATTTTTTGACTTGATTACTAATACTCCCTTATTTATTATTTGAATTATTCAATTCTAAAAGTGGATAACAATTCAAATATGTAATAATCATAGATATATTAACCAAATATGTAGATCAGTATATTTTCATCAGTTTTATAATCAATCGCCAATAAAGGACTCAAATCTACTGCCAATTGAACCAATTTATTTAATTCTTCACAGTATTCAAAATTATAATATCCGTATTAATGAATATTTGTTTAGTTCGTACTAATATCAATTAAGTATTAAACATATTCTCTTAATTCTTTAAATTTAATATTTTTGTTTCTGCTTTCAATCATTTTTAATCTAAATTCCTCTCTTAACATTACTATGATTTCTCCTCGGTCTGATTTTTTCAACCATTAACTCACCATAAATTATCTAACTGTATAATTTGGTAAGCTATATTAAGGGAAGGTAGCATCAATAATGTTATTAAATTAAACCATCAAACGTGTTGTTTCTTATTCCAATATACTTATCCATCCTGCATAATGATGCCAAAGTTCAATAAACTATTATAGATTACATTTTTAAAATTTGATTTCCAAATAGAGACTATATATTTTTATATAATCATGCAAATTGTAAATCTACATCAACAATTGTGGTAATTATATATATACTTCCAACCCTTGTCTAAGTTTCAAAATTAGATCTGAATTTTATTTTGCAAATTATATTGATTCTTAATATTCATTAAATGAAAACTTTTAATCAATTGATTTGATTTAAAAATATAGAATGGCTTTCTAAAATCCGCTATACTAAACTTTTTGTTCTATTATTATTGGAATTTGCTTAATTTGTTGTCGAACACTTTTTATTGCATCACTAAAAGGTATTCCTCTAATTGGAATGAACACAATGCTTTAGATGATTTTTTTCCAATTTTATGATATTATTAGATCTCCCTTAACATTTAAAAGTCTTTAGCATTCTATTTGAAAACAACCTGATGTTTGAATAAACAATTAATAGGTTGATTTTGAAGTTAACAAAATATTATGGTACTCTTAAATCGTCAAAAAACTGGTTAATAAAGACAATGTTTTCAAGGATAACTTAGAGAAAATACTAAAAAATAATTCATTTATGAATACATTTGCTTTTTGTTATTCCCAAACAAAAAAAGAAGAGGGTCCTTCTTTTTAGATTTCGTCTAGTTCTTTTAAGATTAGTTATTTCCCATTTTGAATAATTATCAAATTATACTAATTTAATTATTTAATTTTAAATCAGCATCCATTGCATTTTCAAATATTTATAAGAATTCTAATTGTGCAAACTTTATTTTCCATAAATCATATAATTTAGTAATTGATAGTAATTGATAGTAATAAATATAGAAATTCAACTAAACCTATATAAATCTGTTAGAATTTATTATCCATTTATATTTTTAAATCTAATTACGTCTAGAACTATGAATTTTTGAAGGCGAAAATGGTGATTTATAAAATATTATTCCAGACTACCTTCTAGGAGAAATAATTGGTTAAACAATTATTCAATTAATATTTAGCCTTCAACTTTTAAAGACCAATCGAAATTTAAAGATTATTTTAATTTTCTTCTTATTTTTCCTAACTAAAAAAGATCATTATTAGAAATCATCGATTTCTTATGATTCAATTTAATACATTTTGGTTTTAAAAAGATTTCTCCTTTCAATAAAATAAATAATATTTTAATTGCCAATCAAGTATTTGTATGATATAGACATTATTTGTTAGATTTAAATTGAGGGGCAATAATAATTCACAAAATGATATATAAATAATTGAAATAATATATATGGAATCAAAACGAGTTTTGTTGCTAGAATACTTTTTGAAATATTGTTGTTGTTTCTTAATCAAAATTGCATAAAATAATCTCACCCTATTTATTTGATGTATCCTATTGATACTCTTCAATAACTAACTTAAATATTTATGCACACAATCCTTTTGGAAATCCATAAATTCCGCTCGAAATAGCTGGAATTGCAACTGACTTCAATCCCAATGAATTGAAAGATTGATTGAGACTAGTTTTATATTTATAGAAGCAAATACATATTTTATACGCAAATTTGCAGTTCCTCTTCTGGACTGGAAGATTCAAAATATTTTGGACCAACTGCATGAATGATATATTTTATGTTATTTTTCTTAAGTTAACAACTACTTGTAATAGCCAATTTAGATGTGGGTACAATTCCATATTGTTAAATATGTTATTAGCATTCCCTCTCTAACTCTCTTCCAGCAGCTTAGAATATTGCACCACAAACTCCACCTCCAGGGAGTAATTCTTAGTTAGCTGCATTTACAATAGCATCAACATCTTTTAATTTGACAATATTCTCTTTTATTATCCTGACAGAAAAGCCCTACATCCTTATCAGATAATTAAGCATATTAAAAATATAGTATTAATTTTTGTATTACGATTTACATAATGAGATAATTACAATCCTTAGATAAAATGATTTCTCAAAATGGAACACTTTCAGAGATTTAATGGTTGCTATCATCAAATTGATTGTATTAATTATGAATGAACTAATAATTCTTATTTATAATTTTTGCTTTAGAATTAGTAAATTCGATTCTTACTTATTTAATATTAAATGATATTGAAATTAAATAATTTGAATTGTAAAAATATCAAATAATCTGGTTTCTGATCATTATTAAATTTGTGTTTAGTTTTACCCTTACTATAATAATTCAAGATTGAAATCTTCATTCTCTTCTGAATTGAGGTTGTTATTATCAGTTCTTTTTTAAATGCTTTCGTCTTCAGGATCATCCACTTCTATTAGAAATAAGAATATATAATACATTAATATTTATATCTTGGAATACTTGCTGTAGGTTTCATATAATTAGGCTCTTTATAATCTTCATAATCCACAACCTCAGGTTTATTAATAACACTTTTAAGTTGTTAATATGCTTTAGTTAAGTCTAATACTGGTCTACCAGATGAGTTTTAATTTTAATCATATTCTTTGCTATCACCTAATATTTCTTAAGCTAATTTTTTAAATTCTTCATATGTTGATGGTTTTTAATTGTTACTTAATAATTAATATTGTTATTATATTTTTTATTATTGTTATTTAATTTATTAATTTTCAGTTACAAACATATTGTCCTCTTAGTTCTCATCAATTTGAGATTATTCCTCTTCATTATTTAATAAGAGTCCATCTTTAGATTATTCGATAACAGGCAATTTTAGAATGTCATTTTCAACTCTCTTTAATTATTCAAATTTACAAGGAGGTCTCTTAACCTTTGGTTTTTTGAGATAAGATTTTTCGATCTCTTCATTAATTAAAATACCTCCAGTTCTAGCATGGATTTCCATTTCTAGACCTTGATGATCTCTAGTAATTCCAAATGGATTTCCAGTAATAATAATTTTCTTGAGATTAGTAAAGTTACGAGCACATATTAGATTATGTTAATTTTCAGCAATATTATAGGAGAAATCTAAAGTTTCCAATTTATTGAAATATCCAACAACCAGTCTTTCCGTATGAATTCCCCTCAAGAAATTCTTACTTATATTAAGTGTTTTAAGTTCAGGTATCTAGCCTAAGACTTCCCATAAGACTGCAGCAGTCTAATTGGATTAAAAGGCATTATCACTTATGTCTAGCAATTCTAACTTTGTAAACTCTGCCATATCAATTGGTAATTCAAGTAATTCATTTCTTACTAAATAAAGTTCCTTTAATTCTGTAATATTTTTTAATGAACTTATAGCTTCCTTATTTAAATAGTTAAATGATAAATCAAGATGTTACAATGACTCAAAAGTATTCTTATGAGTGATTTCAATATTTCTAATGTTGTTAGCACAAATCTTTAAATTTTTCAATGCTGGGAATAATGTTAAATCTTCCAGTTATAATGAATTCTCAGAAACATCCAAATCTTGTAGATTTAAAAAATATTGAAAATCTTCAGGTTTACTACTTTATATACGAAGTCCTAAATAAGTTATGCCAAAACTAAACTTGATAAATTTGCTCTGATAATCTCATGAGGGTTATCATTATTCGTTACGTTGATCATCAAGAACCCGTCTAGACATTTCACTCTCATAACAGTGTCATCAGGGATGTAATAGATTTTTGTTTTGAAGGGGTTTTTGGTATGAGCCTTTCTTTTCTTCTTTCCAAGTAATGGTAATTGGAAATGGTTCATTTTATTATAGGCTATTGGAAATGGGATTTAAGAGTTGGCTTTATTTTTCATAATAAATGATTATTATTATATTGGTAATTTGAAATTATGCAAAGATCAATAGGTTATATTAAGAATAGAACCAAGGAGTTTTAATTGAAGAAATAGAAATACAAATCGCCAGATATAAATAGTAGTCGAAGGATCTACTAACTTCCTCCTAAATGGGTTGACAAAATGGAGGAAACTAGAGATACTATATAGAAAGTTGGAATTTTAAATTAGGAAATTGAAAGATTAAAGACTTCAAAGGAAGTAGGGCCAAAAGCACAATTCAATGAATAAGTAATACAAGGGAAACTTGATTAAGCATTACAGGTTAAAATCTGAGTATAGTAGATGATTAGAGATATTGAAGAGAATTTACAAATTATGGAAACAGATGATTGTGAAAATGATATCGAATATAAAATCAAATAAAATGCCAAAATGTGTTTGGGTATATCTTTAAAAGAGGTTACTCCATAATTAAGAAGCTATTAAAATTAAATGATGAGGTAAGTGCAATTAGAAAGACCAGCACAAAACTTAAAAGTTGATTTTGAATAGGAATATATTGAAACTTTAATTCTGGATAGAAACGACAGAATCAAATCATTAGGAGAGAAATTGAAAAAAATGAATGAACTATTTATAGAAATGAATCGATTAGTCATAGAACAAGGTACCTTATTGGATCGTATTGATTTTAATATCGATCAAACATTCACAAGAATTTAGAAAGGAAAATAATAATTAGTCTAAGCTAACACAAAATAGTAAACTAGCGACAGAGCTTAAAAGTGTATTTGTGTTTTAGTTGGGTTAAATATTTTTATAGCATTTTTATTTGTAATTAAACATACATTATTATGAATATTAAAATTAAAAAACCATATATATATTATGATGCTTCAAGAAATTAAATAAGTTTATTATCAATCTATACTTTGTGTTTAAAGATATAAATTACCTTAAAGTAATAATTCAAAAAATCAATTTTGCTGGCTCCAAAATATACAATTGTTTCTCATTGACCAAAAAATGCTTCTAATTCTTCAGATTTATTCAAGAGATTGAATAATCAGATAGTAAGAAAAATCTAAATTAATGATCGAAAATATACAGTAAAACAAAAACGGCATCCACATATTATTTGCTATTATAATACGAGATTCTAAATTATATATTATATTAATTATTATATTTTCAAGAATTGATTAATTTTAAATTTGTGAAATTTGTCATAATACTATTATAATATTTATAAAGAAATTTATCAAGCCCTCAATTTAAACAACAAATAAATATATAATATTCATACCAGGATATCAGAAAGGAGATTTGAACTACAAGGTTTCTACATTTTTAATTCTATAAATGAATAAAAATAATTACTTTAATTCCAAATTTACAGCTTTAGAGAAATAGGAATGCTCTAAACATTGTTTTACATCGTATCTTTTTTCTTAAAAATTAAGCATTTTAAATAATAGTTATTAGGCCTTGACTTCTTTGATATTTCTATAATCAATGGTGAATAAATTATTTTTAGATAACCTAATAATTTATTATCTGTTCATATTTCTATCGAACATCGGATTTCCTGTTAAAAGTGTGTGAAAAACTTGTGCTAGACTATATATATCACATTTCTCATTGTAAAACTACCCATTAATAATCTCAGGAGGAAAGTACCCGATTGTGCCACATTTCTCAGTTAAATAGCTCAAATTATCTTTGAATGCTGAAAATCCAAAATCAATGATTTTAACACATTTATGGTCATCAATCTCTTCTAACATTATATTATCCATTTTTATGTCTCTATGTATGATCCCTAAACTATGGATGTGATTCAGCCCAGATAAAATTTTTTTCATTATTGACTTTACTTTGAGCTAGCTTATATCGTTAGAATTAGCGCTAATAAGTTAGTTTAAGGTCCCCCCTGAGAAATATGGATAAATAAGTATTATTTTGTCATTCTCAAAATAATATTCAACCATACTCGCTACATTTTCATGTGGATTTACAGCGAGAAGTAAATTAATTTCTAACTCTCTCTCTATGAGAAAATGGTTATTTAATTGAATTTTTGCAACAAATATTTCATTATTCTCTCGTCTACGACATTTGATAATCTCAAAATATATATTTTTAAATACCTCTCCATTTTGTATTCGTTTTATAGTTTCAAGGCTTTCGTAGTTATCACCAAAATTGGCTTATGCAATCCGTGTAATAAGGGCTTAGTATCCTAATGTCCCGTTGTATGTATCAAAGAAGAATTTATCTTAAAAGTTTTGCTTGTTTTGAAAGGTAACCTCATAGATATTTTCACTATATTATAAATATGTATAATACTGCTTTATCCATTTCATAAATTTGATGTCATCAATGTTAAGAGTCAGCTTCTTATTAATGTTGTTCTAAATTATATAAAAATTTGTAGTATACATCTTAAATTTCTATATCATTTTTATTTACTCTTATTGTTGAGGTCTCAATGAATGAGAAAGGATTAGATAAAGCTTTAGATTAAGTTTAAGAGCATTCTAAATTATAATATTATGTTATACACATTCTCTTGAATTGTAAATTTAATTATTAAATAGTAATAACATATCCTTTAATAACAAAAATAGTTCGTTAGATAATTTTAATATTAAGAAGTTTCTTGAAAATTCAAGTTTTAATAAGTAATTTAATATTTAATTATTGCTTCTAAATATACTTACAACAAATAACTAGCACTTTGGATCTGGTTTCGTTGTTTTTTCTAAAAATTTTTCTTATATTTGAAAAGTATTTAAACATATAAATTCATATTTTCATCTCTATAACTTTAGGATGATTTATTATTTATTTAAATCATTTTCAATCTTTTTAAATGGTTACTTTTCAAAATAGAATTTTTAGCTTCCTTTAAAAATTATTTTGGGATGTCGCATTTAATAATCAGTTCTCTAAAACGACTCTATATATAAGTAAATTTTAAGTATTTAAATTGTAAAAAAATTATGCCTTTTGGTTTGGAAGACACCCACTATACTTTTAATGATATAGATGATATTAAAGATATATAAAAAGATATATTTTAAGATTATATGTATTTAATAACTATTCTTCAAATTTTTTAGGGAATCAAATTTATAACATGAAATAATAATCGCTCATTGAATTTAAATAAGTATTATTAATTGAAATTATTAGTAATTAGAAAATTGAATTTTTATTAAATTCATTTAAACATTAACTCACACTCAGTACAAAATTATGCAACATTTGATAATATCGTAATTTTTCCACATTCTTACTGAAATTTTTCCTCAAAATCCCGAATTACTTTTAATAATATATTGATGGCTTGCTTTCCACAATATCTCATAAAATCTTCCTAAGTAGTCAAGCATTATTGAAGAATACTATACAACAATATTGTAATTGAGGTGATATTGTTCTTCAGAAAAGTCTCAACCAATCTAATTTATGTAAAAATAAATACATTGAAAAAAATACTTAATATAAGAGTGTTTATTTATCAATTATATTTAATGGTTTGGAAATCAACAAAATTTGATTGATGTTATTGAACTTCATTTTGTGGCCTTGAATTAAAAAGCATTAACAATTTTAAAGGTCACTATAATTTTATTTAGTTTTTAATTATTATTCCAATTCATTTTAAAATGAAGGCCCAGCTAACTCAATTATCCTTTTAAGAGCTTCAGAATTATAATTTTATAAATTTATGGGGCAAACTAAACAATCTGTTGGAGGAGCAAAATCTAATTTTGAATGAATCGTTTCTCTTAATTTTTCACCTTTAAAAATAATTTTAAATATCTCAACTACTTTGTCTATCACATCAACTATATGTATAGACATGCGATTTTCAAATTGAAATTCCAGAATTGCTGAATGTAAGGTTTAAGCACTAATCTATTTTGGAAAATCAAAATTTCTTTCTGAAATAGTAGGTATAGCAACTGATGTTATTTTATATTCCTGGCATTTTTTTAATCTAATAAAATAATTAAATTCTAAAAACTTACATATTAACAATGCATGCATTTAATTATTCTATTGATTTTTAAGGATCTTATGGATTATATTTTGGACCAACAGCATGAAATATGTATTTTGGCCCATTTTCCTATCCTAGACGGTAACTTTTAGTAACAACTACTTCTGAAGTCTCAAGTTATTTTCTCCCAAGTTTTTTAAGTAAAATATTAATTTCCTCAACTAATAGACTTTCACCGGCAGCTCGAAAGATAGCTCCGCAAATGCCCCCTCTATTTGTAAGATTAGGGTCAGTTACATTTACGATAGCATCAACTCCTTTTATTTAAGTGATATCTTAATTATGTATGATGATTGATTATTCAAGCAACTTAATTTTCATAGGAGCTAGATGTTACTTCTTTCATTTACTTTTTTTAACAACAATCCACTTTTAGTTATTAATTGATATTTCATTCCAAATTACTCGATCAGGATTCTTGTTACAAGCTTCATCAAACGCTTTGGCTACAATATCCATTGATAATTCATTTTGATTTATAATTAAATTTTTACAAATTTCATCCAAACATAGGCAAAAAGTATTAATTTTCAAACATTATAAATTATACAAAAGTCTTAATTAATGAATAAATAATTTACATATCCCTAAAACAATTTTATAATTAATTCTATCTTCCAATCGTCTAATCTTGGTTTGGACAAAATAGCAAAAGTACAAGACTACAACCAAAAATTGGAACATATTGTCTTATTGGATATAAATAATATTCTTTATCCTTTTAAGCCAAAATTGTGATTTTATCAAGTACCTTGTCTTATTAAGAATCCAATTTTATAAAGGTAGGTAAGCTTTATTTTAATTAGTATTTATCTACTGCAATAACTACACAATCAATTTAACAGAATTTATAATTTTATTCTCTTTATGCATATTCACAATCGTAATCAAATTCAATTTATTAAAGTTTAGTGAATAAAGTAGATTCTTGATGACTTGATTATTAATTTTATAATTAAATCTAATCCTCTTGTCTATTATCAATATATTATGTAAGAGGATATTATTGATTGCTATAATCTTAATTTTTAATTAGGGAGGCTTTCACCAAAATTGAATTTTTCAAGTCTTTTATCTTCTACCAAATACCACGTTTTCTATAAAAATAATTAATATTCCTTTAAGCTTAAGTCCATTTCTCAATAAATTACTCATTTAATTAAAGTGATAATAACAAATTAAATATATCATCTATTTATGGTCTGTAGGTTGGTTGAGAAATTAGTTTATCTAATAATGTTTAAATTTAAACCATATTTTATTCTAAAATTATAATTTATTAATTTACAGTCTTCTTAATTTAATTTCTAGTTTATTTTTTCAAGTACTCTTTTGAATATAATACCTAGCGAATATGAATCATGAGTTTCAGATATCTATTAATTTTCTAACATCTCAGGAGGACAAAAAGGTAACAATTGCTTAGGGATCATAGAATATTTATAAGAAATCTTGTAATTAAACACTTAATTAGATTACTCAAGAATTTCTTAATCCTACAGTAATTATTAATGAAGTTTATAAAGATCACAACATACCTAAAGCATAAATTTAATTAGATCCTTCTATTCTAAAATAACACTATCTATATCAATAATGAGAGAAAGAAAGATGTTATTCTACTAAATGATAGGAGAAGATTTTAGTATAATTGATTGATGTGGCTAATGGAATGTATCAACCTATTAAAATTCTTTTGATTTTTAACTAGAATTATGATAGTTATTTTCTTAGTTTAAGGATTCTTAGTTATGAAAATTTTCTGATTAGTGATTACCCTAGTTTTATTAATTCTATTTTTTTTAATTGTATTCCCTTCGATACTAAGCAATTTCAATTTCACTTCCTTCTTATACTTCTGGTTTTAGATTTTCAACATTTCTTGTTATATTCTATAAATGAAATTGATTGTATATTTCAGTTAGAGATGTTTAACATCCCTGAGCGACTGTTTTATAAATGCCATTAATATTAGGATTTGCAGTTTTTGGGGTTTCAATTGATAAAAACCTTTTCACAGGTTCATATTCTTATTAGCTTTAGCAAACAAATATCAAATTAACATTTTTCAAATTAGCTCTTTTTTTCTGATAAATTGATTAAAAAGCTTTCAAAAATTCTTATATTGTAAAATCTGCATTATCACAACCAAGCACTGGTATGAGGATAGAATTTAATTATAAAAAAGTAATTTCATCAAAACTAGTTTCTATTAGATTTATTATTATTACATATTTTCAAATAGTAGCTCTAATAAAAATGATAATTACAACTCTTAATTATTCACCTCAGGTTTTGGTACTATACAAAAAATGATATATTTAAATTAACTATTCTATAGTGGCAATGTTATGACAGATGTCTATTAAATTTAACCAAAAGGTTTTTGGATTTCTATTGATTCATTGTATTATTATTAGCCGTTTCGATGCAATTGTTTCAAACCAGGAGCTTTTAATAATGCTATATCAGATGGTAAGGCAATTGCATCTGCTGATTATTGAATTATGTCTCCTTAAATTAATGATAGCATTTATATTTTATAATTAATTAATTAATGATCACCATTTCCAATCAGGAGATGTCTCCTTGTAGATTATACCTTTTAAAAGCTGATAAATTTATTATTAAAAATAAACAAGAAGAAGGATTGACATTTACATTCATATAATAGAAGAGCAAACCATTAAAATTGGAAGAGCAACACAAGTTTGAGTGTATGATCGGCAATCATTATTTGATATGTGAAAAACTTAACCTAAAAGCTGAAGTTTATGTTTTTAAAACTCAATACGAGAGAGACAAATTTCAAGCATAGGAGGAGGAATTTAAGGCTACAAAATCAGAACAATAATATGATAGTGAAGATATCTCCAATGAGAATGACGAAATTATGAGTGAAGAAATAGGGATCTTGCCTTAGAGGAAGAAGAAATTATTAAAATGGTCAACTGCTGAAACCTCATCCACTTATTATTCGAAAAAAGAAAATCAATCAACTACTTCAGATGTGAGTGAGTAATTGTTACCGGAAAAAAGGGGAAAAAGGAAGGGATCAGATCCTGTTGTATAAAAAACAGAACTTATTGTAAAACCTAAAATCTAAAGAGGAACGAATTAAATTAATAATATATTATCAATTCAACAATTTGCCAAAACATAACCACAACGATAAATAGCAATTTCACAAGATTAATTGTCATTACTCATACGTAATTGGAATGCTTATAAATTGATTAATGAATATCTTTATAATTAATATTCTTATCAATGAATCTCTATTTTATGAAAGAATTCATGTTCATTTAAACTCAAATTGAGATATTCTATGAATCAATAGAATAATATAGCAAAATTTTAATAGAAATAGCTTAATCCAATTAAACCTCATTTAAATATCAAATTTTTATTATTTAATTAATTATGAGTTTTGCAGAAAGAGTTTATAGGAAAACACTTTAAAAGAAAACTAAAAAGGAAGTCAAAAAAAACAAGGCAGAAACAACTGAAAATGATGATAATTATGGTCTTTCTTACTTTGACAATGATTAAGATGAGATTTCTAATTTGGCAGAAGAATTCTTAGGAAAATGCATCCTTATGAATCATTCTGATGATGATGAAGAAACACAAAAAAGGAACAAAATTAGAGGAAATGAATACTTTTAGTTAATTCAATTGAAATAAAAAAATATCTATTCCATAGAAATAAAAAATGATTAAAATTAATAGAGTTAAGAAAATGACGAAGATTAAGAATGTTTAGAAACTCGATCAAATTCAAATTATGAGGATGATTTTTAAAAAGATGATGCTCTAATGGTGTAATTGAGCGAAATTAATTATTTGGAGGAGTTGGACAACGTTTAAAAATAATCAGTTGGGTTAGGAAATAAAAAATACTATACTTCGAAACAAAAGTTCAATAAAATTACTAAACAACATCTAGTTCCTTAAATTAAAAAGAAAAATATTCTAAAGATGAATTTAAAGGCATGACTTTTATACTTTTGTATATAATCTTAATTACTCTCAAGTATAAATAATTTAATATAAAATAATTTAAAATATAAAATTCCAAAATGTCAAAGAGATATTTTATCAATAATTTAGATAGTCCATTAGGCTAGGAGTTCTACTCATAATTAGTAAAGGAAGAAACTGAAGAAGGTGTGCATATGGCAACTTATACAATTGATGATCCAAATAAGATGCCTCCAAAAGGTTTTAAGAAAATATTGAAACGGTATGAAAATTTGATATGCTAGTTACAAGCCTAAGTTGTCTAGAAAAAAGATGCTTGAAGAATGCGATGTTTATGTGTATGATGTAGCTTCTGCAACTTAAACAGATCTAGATTTTGTATGCGATATCTTTAGGAATAGCAAAACAACATTAGAAGAATAGAAAGTATAATTCTATACTATTATAAGGTGTTAATTCTTGTTTCCTCGGTTTTAACATGGAGTGCCATGCCAGACAAAGTTAAGCCGAAAGTAGAAAAAAAACCAGATGAAGAATAAGAGGGAGAACAATAGGAGCAGTAAGAACAATAGTAAAAGAAGGATGAGGCAGAAGCTGATGAAAACTAAGAACCCAAAGAGGATGAAAATTAAGATTAGGAATAAGAATAATAATAGATTTAATAATAGCCAATTAATGAAGTTCCAGAGGTTATAGAATACGTGCCTTGGGAGGAAAGTGATTATAAATTGAGAAGTGCTTCTGCTTAATATTCATAACTAAAAGAATGGGAAGATATGGTATTAAGTTTGTAGAAAGAAAACTTAAAAGTCATAGTTGTATGTGCAGGATTAATATACGGCAAAGGAGAGTTACTCTTTTAAAAATATTTTAAAGTATTCTATTCAATCTAATAAAAAGAAAGCATGGTTATAATAGCCATATAAATTAAGTTATTAACCAGATGGAAATAATAAAGTACCCACAGTTCATATAACTGATCTAGTGAAAATGATTGTGAAGGTTTCTGAATCTATTCCAGAGTCAAATTACATTTTTGCTGTTGACAATACTTAAGATAGAACACAAAAAGCTATAATACAAGGTATTGCAACTGGAGTTGGAAGTGGTTGGATTGAATAAAATGATGATTTTTTCAAAGATTTCACTCCAGAGGAAATGGATTGCTTTAGGTTGCATCTAGATTGCAAGCCATCTCAAATTTTCATAGGAAATGAAGAAACTCCCTCTGATTTTGAATGGCATTGTGAAAAAGGGATTTCTGTAAATGCTAAGAAAATATTATAAGAATTCACAACAATACATAAATTAAGACCGATTAAAATAATCATGGAATCTAAAGCAGAAAATATGAGATTTTAAGACATTTTAACAATGATTAGTGATCATTATAGAATTCCAGTGATTAATTAAGAATAAATATTTAAAGATGCTTAAGATCCCAATTATGTGTTCCCATCAGAAATACAAGAAGATTTTAATGAATATTGGCCTACTATTCAAGAATATATTAATAGCTAAGCACCTGCATAGTTGTCAGAATAATTAAAGATTTATTATAAAGTAATCAAGTGGAGATTAAGCTAAAATGATTGTTAAAATAGGGGATTTATTTTATAGAACTTTCCAAATTACTTTGAAGAGGCTGATTTCATCTTCTATCCAAATAAATAGAAACTAAAGATGAAAAAGAAGCCTAAGAAAAAACCAGTTGTTACTGAAGAAGAATAGAAACCACCTCAAGAACCAGCTGTTGATGAGAATGGAGATCCAATTGAATAGGAATAGCCAGAGGATCAATAATAAGATGAACAATAATAAGAGGAAGTACAAGAAGAGGAACCATAGGAGGAAGAGTAACAGGAAGAAGAATAAGAAGGTGGTCCTAAACCAGAGGATTTCTTCCCGGAATCTTATATAGTAATTAAACCATTAGGCAAAACTGATAATTTTGAATATAACAGGAAATTGATTAATTTCTTTAGTGAAAGAAATTTAGATGCTTATTTTATAGATCCAAGAAAGAAAACAAATCATGATACTTTTGAAGATTTAAGAATTTATATTGAAAGAGTAATTATTAATTTTATCTTATTAGAATGGAAGACCTTATAATTATTTACAGAATGAAAAGGAATTGATAGTTTTGTATTTCAATTTATAGAGAATCAAAGATTTGACTATTAAGTATACTAGAAAACAATCGATTTCAATTTGGAAAGAAATTACAAAAGTGAAGAAGGATAAAAGATAAGATTTGGTTACAAAGTATACGAAGTACATAGAGGAACAAGAATAAGAATTACAATAAGTCAAACAATTTCCTTTTAGAAATTATTTAATGGATTTCGTTGTGCCAGTATTGAATGAAGGATTAGTGGAAGTGGCACATATTTTACCTGATGATCCAGTCGAATTTTTAGTATTTGAATTGTTATTATAATTTAGGCGGAATATTTATATAAAAGGAGTTTTAATGTTGACAATGAATGATAATAAATATTATTAATATTAATTCATATTTTTATGGAAGTTGAAAAAGTTAATATATGGTTAGATTGTGATGTAGGGAATGACGATGCGATGGCAATCATTTTGGCCTTGTTTCATCCCAAGTCAAATTTAATGGGAATCTCAACCTGTTTTGGAAATACTTGGTATATTTGGTTAACCTAACGAATTAGTCTTGAAAATTGTACAATCAATACAATAAGGATCTTGAGTTCTGTGGGCAGATCTGATGTACCAGTATTCAAAGGAGCAGAATGTTCATTAAAATCTGTAAGGGCTACTACAAAAATGCATGGAAATTAAGGTAATAAGGGTTTATACTCAAACAAATAGGTTTATATGCAGCAGACAAGTTAATCCAAAGTTTTGAACCGATGTAAAATATCCCATTGTATGATCTAATTAAAAAGAGTGCTGGGGAATAAAAGGTATTAATATAGTGAGAAGAATAGTTCGTAATAGTAATAACAGGACCGTAAACAAATATAGCAATTTTATTGAGAGATCACCCAGAGATCATCCCTTAAATTTAAGAGATCGTTTTTATGGGTGGAGCTTCAGGCTTTGGAAATGCAACACCAAATTCAGAATACAATATTTATTCAGATCCAGAGGCAGCATAATTCGTAATTGACACTTGCAAGTAACATCAATTGAAATTAGTGATGATTGCCTTGGATCTAACATATGTAATCAATAAATTAATTATATAGACATGCTAATTGGTTGAATCACTGTAATAGAGGATCAAGGCAATCAATTCGAAGTTTTCAGATTGGTGTTTGGAAATGCTGTAGGAATTCTAAGCAGCTTACAAGGCCCAAGAATTCGATTACCCCCCAATTCATGATCGTAATAATCATCTTGAACTCTATAATAGCCGTTGCTGTCTTTTATGCTCTTCATCCTGAGCTTTATATCACCAAACCGTTATTTGTTGCTGTGGATTGTGAATCTAAATTATGCTACGGAAGAACGGTGGTTGACAAACAAGGGGTTCTTGGATTAGAACCAACACTTGAATTTGGTAGGAAAGTATTAGTGGAAGAATTCTGGAACTAAATGATTGAGGCCATAAGATTAGCAGCGAAAAATTCTAAATTAGAATGATTCTTTGTTATTTTTTATTTAAAATCCTTTTGCAATATATATATTAATATTTAATAATAAATATGGCATAGGCGTTGGCAGCAGAAAATTATGAATTCAAAGCTGCTCCTGAAGTAGTGAAACCTAAGACCAAATACAGACCACAAGTAATCTAGCAATCTGACGAACAAAAGGATAGGTTTAGATTCAAATTTATATTAAGTTCATTACTAGGATGCAACATTATGTTTGACAAGAGAGTTATAAGGGGGAATACTTATGCAAGCGTATAAACACAAGGCGATAAGAAATTAATGACTTTGAAATCATTCAAAAAACCTACCTAAAAAGCGGTTACATAATCAAACTATCCAAATAGGCTCCTCAAGCATAAACCACTTATCTACATCCTCAAACACCCAGACCATTTTAGAATCGTGTGAATATTGACATACAAACTGATGAGTATCTTGAAATCCTAACTGATAAACCACCTGAACAAGAAATGGATGCCTAAACAGACTATTATATTGATAAGCCTCCCGATCGATTATTTGTACCAAAGAAAAACGGAATCGATAAGGTAAAATAATACACTTTCTATTTCATTAGGAAACTTAAATATGGGAAGGTGATCTATTCGATTTTGACCAAGAAGTAGAACCCATTCTATAGGTTTTGATGAATAAGATCTTAGAATAATCAAGAATGGAAGTTCTGGAAGAAGAAGAAATCAAATTGATGAAATTATAACAAAAATAGCATGAAAAATAAAAGGCAGATGTCTTTTCAAATATGCAAAGATTAGAAGCTGTATAATAAAGATTAGATTAAGAAGAAGCACGAAGAAAATTATAATACGAAACATTTCTTAAAATCTAAAAACAAAGTCATTAGAAAATAATCTGCAGAACTTTGTCAAAATCTCTGATTGGTCCTCTAAAGCAAAATACCTTCAAGAAACTCTAAGATTTAGGAGTTTATAGAGATCCTTTGGAAACTGCTTTATTATCGGAATATCTACCTTGGATGTATTCAAATATATTGACTGATTTAATCGACGAGGATGGAAATAAAAGCAGTTTCAATAGTAAATTTATATATCAATAATTAGATATGTTATTTGATGTTGAAGATTCACTTACTAATGCACATGCTAACTCAATTCTAAGAAGAAAACAATTTATAGAAAATCATTATGAAGAAATTGCTAGGAAGAAAAGAGAAAAAGAGGAAATGAAGAGACAAGAAGAAGAAAGAATATTGAAGGAAATTGAAGACACAAGATTGGCTGAAGAGGAATTGGCTCGTTAATAAGAATAGTTGGCCCTAGAGCAATAATAAAATTAATAACAAGAATGATAAAGGAAACAATGATTAATTTAAGTTTTATTAACTCTATTAATGGAGATATTTTGAGTAAATTGTACATTTAGGATGATAATCATTCAGTAATTTAAAATTCCTTTCTTTTCTAATTCAATTTAGGATCCTTAAGCAAATCTAAATATTATTTATGACCATCTTTAACAATATCAACTGCTTTGTTTGCATCGAAGATTTAATTATTGAATAAAATAATGTTCTCCTTTTTTCCATCAAAAGTCTTAATGTAACGAAATCTGTTTAGAATCAATCTACTTATATCACCATTCTTTTTTTCAAAATCACGATATTCATTAATTTATAATTTATCAGCCTCTTCAGTGTTCAATACTAAAATCTTCCAATCTATTTCACCTTGATCTAAAACACAAAAGGCTCCAATGATTTTAGCTTAAAATATATCCCCAGGTCGATAGTATCTTTGAGTACTTAAATCCACGATATCCAAGGGATCGTCATCGCCCTTAAATCCATCATGTAAATCAACTGTTGAATTTTCCCATGTTTAAGGAATAAAACCATAATTGAATGGAGCAAATTGAGCATAATACCTGAGTTCTTTTTCATCAGAATTTTTTTTTTTCTTTTGATCTTACACAATTGGATTATATTTGATGGTTTTACTTACTTCAAATTTAGCTAATCTCTCCTTTGGTATTTCGATTCCAACATTTATTATGTTATATTAACCTTTAATTGGATAGATAGGTATATCATGCCAAAAGGATTTTACAGTATCATTGCAATGGAGATTGATTTGGTATGAGAGACCTTAACCTTATTCACTCAAGCGATAAGAAAGTGATTAGCTGTATCTATAAACGAATCTCAAGATGTTCATAATTAAAATATTTAAAATAAAGCAAAGAAATTGCATAATTATAGTTAAAATGATCATTGCCAAGAAACACTCTCTCTACTTTTACCCACTTTATATTGTATTTTCCAAATAGTAAACACATACCTTTTAGTCGGGTCAATGGATTCTCTATGAAATTAATATAAATAATAACATACAACAAACTACTAATAATTTAAGTAAAATACTTTGTATAGGAATTACATATAGGTAAAGATTAGAACAAACCTCAATAAATTGACTGCATTCAATCCCCATTCGGGATTATTTTAATCATCACTATACCACCATAACTAAGTATATAAGATAATTCATTACGTGATATTGTTTCATCCACAAAATATCGTATAAAATTGAAGCCAGGAGTCCTGCTCCAACCAACTTAATATGGAATGGGTCAAATCTATCCATCAAAATAGTGAACATCAATCCATGACAGACCAACACCTATATTAAAGATTGAATTGTAATTTACATCTAGAAAAGAAGGTTTGGCAGAACACACAAACAAGGTGATTAATCCATATATGGTGAATATGATAACTCCATGTTGAAGAATCTCAGGGGCTTCTGGAGTTTCATCCTAAATTTCTAGTTATTTATCAGACTATAGAATAGACCAGATTTATTCCTTTTATTCTTAGGGAGAATTTAATTAATTTTATTGTTAATCCATTTCATAGATATTTTGATCTTATTCTTATTAATTTTAAGAAGTGTGTAGTTGTTAATTAAAAATATTCGATGACAATTATTTATTAGTCTATTCCTTTGATAATTGCTTTGCTTTGAAAGGTCTCTCGATTATTTCTAGATTATTCCTATATTCTATCAAATCATTATCCAAAGTAAAAATTCTCTATTCAAATTTCTATAGTTAAGCCTATAAATATTGATGCTGTTATCTAATAACAACATCTAAATTACCTTGTTCAACACAATTTGTGCCTCCATTTCAACAGAAGAACCTAGTTCTCTACCTACTGGATCTACTAATTTCAACTCCACTTGTTTGATCACCTAATCGTCCAATTATTGGATCTTCAATTAGGCTGAGCCCCAGAGTATAGGTAAAGTATTCTCTGTTCTGATGAAAAATTGAATTTGAAGAGTAGATATCAGTGGGGGGACAGAACTAGAATAGGTTTTGAATAATAATAGGTTTACAATTCGAAGTCTTGATTGAATTCAGGATTGACTTTATCATATTGCGATTCCGGTTTTGCAATTTAATTTATAACCCCTAAAGTTAACTAAATATGACAATTTGAGTATTTAAGATTTAAAGGAATGTTTTTTACACATAATAACGTCAGAAATAAGTATCTAGTATCCGAATAAACAGCTAATGATAGATTTATAACAAACATGTTTCTGCTAATTGATTTTCGCAAATTGCTTTATTTTATTAAATTTATCTAAGTTATTATTCAGCATTCTTTGCCTTTTCTCCTTATATCGATATTGCATCTAGGATTGTTTAGCCAATATCGGCAAGTCTATAAACCATTTTCAAATTTAATTGAGTTGGTTTGCATTGTTAAAATAATTATTCTGCAATGTCTCTATCAAATTCCTTCCTTCCCATAGCATCTAATTTTGCCAATATTTCATCCGCCTTATACATACTCTCCTATTTTAATCCATTTTCTTCAAATCCTCTTAATATGGTTTATAAATTTAACATATTAAAATTTATTTATATTATATTCCATTTCTTAATTCGGTACAAGAATTACCTAGCAAGAAATTAAATTTACAATTAAATTGCATTATAAAGACTCTATAATAGTTTTTGAATGCTTTTTAACTTAAGTTTATATTTATAGAAAATATTGAAATATCTCTAAATTAAATTAACAAAATGAAAAGTAATACAAAAATAACCTTAACTATCGAATAATTAACGGAGTTACTTATGAATCCATAACTACCCAACATTCAAAGTAGTCTGCAATCATTGACTGAATTTGAATTGAGAAATAACAAAGTAGATTTAATGAAAATAGTATCATTTGTTGATTAAGATGAGTTCCAAGCAGCTAGCACATCTACTTCAAGTAAAAATAGTCAAAATTAATAAATGATTGAGAAAATTAATGAATTGGAATTAGAAAATACATATCTCAAAGATTAATTGGAGTAGCAAATTGAGAAAGAATATCAATTAAGATAATAAATGAACCTATGTTTGAAAGAATCAGATAGGTTGAAAATGTAGAATCAACATCTAAATAAGCAGTTGGATGAACTAGAAAGATTAATAAATCATAATAAACTGACATCAAATAGAATAGATCCTATCTCTAAATCAGTTCATTTGGATATTAAAAAAGCCTTAGTAGTTAAACCCTTGACTATTGCCTAACCTCTACGCAAATTTTCAGGCACGAGTGGAATTGTAGCTTAGCATCCTTTTAAAAATTCCAAAAATCTCAATAGAGTAAAAACTGAAAGAAGTAATTTATGAGACTTCCAATTTTGATTTTTTTCTACGCTGTATAACAAATAACAAATAATCATTTGTATTAAATCTGAATATACTTTGAGTTTTGTTTAATTATTGAGTATTTTAAATAAGATAAGTGAAGGACTTGGGAAGAAGTGAGCAAAAGGATTTTGAATTGAATTCTTGATTGATTATGATAATTTCATTAAAAGAAAAGTTGATAAAATATTTATAAGATGTTTTCATAATTAATTTTGTCAGTATTATTAGGAATAACCTTCTGTGGTTGGACAAGAACCCCTTAAATAAAAATAGATAAGTTCAATTAAACAGATTAAACAATTTCAATCAGCACTGAAGATTTCAAGCATCTAAAGTATCCCAATGCTTTTGACTTGGAATTATATTATTAAGAAGGATTGGTTGATAATAAGGATATTACTAAATATTAAAAAATCAATGATACATAATTATATCAGCAAGGCTGTTCTTATTTTGAAAGGAAAATAAAAGTGGAAGATCAATTATAAATTTAATTGCCTGATGAAAGCAAGTTTAATTTTACTGATATGGTGGTTGTTGGCTAATAAGCATACCTAATAAGAAATGATAATAAAATATTTAAGGTCTAATTAGATTTTAATGGAAATGAATTAAAGGTAATCTATTTTGTCTATGATATTTAAGAAAATGAGTGTTTAATCCTAGCATTTGGATTACTCAGAATAAATTGCTATTGATTAAAAGAAGAAATCTCACTTTGTAGTTTCAAATGGTTAAATTTTTGTAGTGACCGAAAAAGGAGCAATTAGTTTTTAGTATTCGGAATGGTAAAATGGAATTTTGCCTCCAATTAAATTTCATAATTTAGAAGTAGTAAGCAAGATAAATTATGTCCATTATGATGAAAAATATCAACGATTATTCATAGTAGCAGGTAAATAAGGAGTATACGTATACAAAATAAAAGAAAAGAGCTTAGATCATGCATACACAATATCAGGAAACTTAAACATCATTAAAGTATAGACTAAAAATGATTAACTCTTTTTGTTAGATGATAAAATTGGAATACACTTTTACACTTTAAATGAAAATGAATACACAGATAATGGTAATGATAATATATCAATTATGTAGAATTTAAGATTCCTTTGGAAAATCCGATATCTTTTGTGTATAACAAGAACTCCTTTTTAGTGATAGCTTAAACTGGGTAAACCTCAGATAAGATTATTTTTGGAATAGAAATTCTGTTTCACTTTAAAAATCAGGAATTTTATTACAATAAATTTTATTTAGAAGATATGCAATTAAAAGAAGTCCAAAATTGTGGAGACTTTTAATTCTTAATTGGTTATGATGTACACAAAATCGTTTAGACTAATGTATATAGAGGATTCGTAGATGAAAATTTTGATTATGATACCGACTTCATGATACCTTTATTATAGAAAATTGAAGAAATTGAAGGTACAGATTATGAAAAAGCAGATACTTAATATCATTATTCATTAGCATTGACTCCTCATTATCTATATGGACTGATTATTAAGGATAAAAATCCAGAAATAGTTTGTTCATCTATAAAATAAATTGAATAATCATATGCCATTTTAATTAATTCAACTTAATGCGAGAAGGCTGAAATAGATCCATTCATAGTTTGTCATGAGGAACATTTTATTAATTTAGTAGTCAATGAAGTATTGCTAGATTCCTAATCGTAATGGTACGCAGAGGTTTTCCTGATTGTGGTTTTTGTAATTTTTATTCTGTTGTTGATTTGTGGATACAGAATGTGTTCAAAATGGAAATCTATCATGTAAACAATGGAGATACAATTAAAAAAATAAGAAAATAAAAAAAAACAATATGCAAATTTACAAATGGCATGATGAAATTTCAATATAATACAGTAAACAATATTTATCTCGAATTATATAAAGAAAAATTTATTATGTCTAATTTTATTATATGAATATTTATTAGTTTATTAATAATTTGCGATTCATAAATATAAGAAATTAAATGATTGATATTAATGATCAGATTTGAATATTTTATTCAAATTAAAATTAATTATATATAATTTGAGTAAGAAGCAATATTTAATGGAAATAACAATATGCCCCTCAATAAGTGCAAAAGTTGATGAGTTTTTGTCTTCTAAGATTAATTAATATTATTAAATAATAAATAAATGTACATTTCCATTGTTAAAGATAATTTTAAGTTATATATAGGCTTATTTTCTTTCTGTTAATTTCACTTCGAAAAATTTTGAAAAATTCAAAATAGTGAATTATAATTAATTAGTTAAACCCCGAATGAATTTGAGTAGAGAAATGAATTATTTAAATAATATGATTTTTTATAAAAGAAAAAGAGGAATACATATTACATTTGCTCTTAAACTTCTCCTTACAGCAAGTTTTTCAAATGATATTTATTTGATAGTCATATCATCAGTGAATATATTAGCAATATTTATCAATATGTTAATGAATAGGAAATAAACACCTATTTGGAAATATATAAGGATCATCTTACTTCTAGAATTGTGCTTTAATGATTAACCTTTCGGATCTGTAATTGTCGCCTCAATTAAATACAACCTTAAATATAAAATTGTTCTATTGTCTTTTTATATTTTGAGAGCAAGTTTAATATATTATAAGACTTTCAAGATTATCGATTGGGTTTACATAGGAATCCTTTTTGTTAGCTTCAATATGTACTTTTATTTACATGTATTAACTTATTTATTTTTAGGATATAAAACAATCTGACAGTAAATTAAATTGCCATTCTCAAAGGAAATTAACTCAGTATGAAATTCCTTCTCAAAATGATTCAAATGATGTGATTGATTTCTTTAATTATATTCCCATTGGAATTTGTTTATTAGATAACAAGTACAATATTGTTAATTCTAATAATAAGGCTAAAAAGTATTGTTCAATTATCAAAGAAGATAATTTATAACAATAACTATTTGTAATGATTCATAAGTAGATATTATAATATAAAAATAGAGCATGGATAGAATAATAATAGAATCCTACCTCATTAAGATGTGAAAGGAGATCCATAATCACCTCTTTTGAAGAATAAGGATCAGACTTTTAATTAAGAAGAATGAAATCATTTAGTTAGACTCGAAAAAAAGCTATATCTCTAACTTTACATAAGTAGTATAGTAATTTTATTGATTTTGCTTAAATTGTCAATAAATGTAAAAGTTCAGGAATTATTAAAAATTCGAATTCCCTTAAATATCGAGATTAAAATAGTTAAAAAGCTTACGATATCAAGATATACGAGACATCGAAAGGATATTTGATCGTTCTTAAAAATATAACCAAAAATGAAAAATAAATAGACATGAAAGACAGATATCATTTTTAATAAATGCTCATTAATTCCTTCTCGCACGAATTAAGAACTCCTTTAAATTGTTCTCTCTCGCTGTTACAAACATTGGAACAAGAAGTAAAATCAGATTTGAGCGATACATATTTGAAACCAGCGATAATCTCAAATAAAAAATTGCTACATCAAATAAATGATATATTGGATTTTGCAAATTTTGAAGTGTAGACATTTGAATTGAGACCAACCATTTTTAAATTATCTCATTTAATAAAAACAATTGAAGATTATTTTAAGCCAGAATGCCTATAGAAGAAAATTGAGTTTATGATTTAATCGTGTAATGATGCTTTTATCAGAAGTGATTTCGACAGAATTCTCCAAATATTAGTTAATCTATTGAACAACTAAGTAAAATTTACAAGACAACAAGGAGTCATTAAGTTGAATATTTAAAGAGTGGGATCATTGTATCAATTCGAAGTCTATGATACAGGATGTGGAATTTCGACTGAGAAACTATTTTTAATCAATAAAATTCTATCAAACACTGAAGTGGATCTTGCAAGGAGGGGAGAAGAAGATTATATTCAATATGTCGGCTTAGGCCTAAAAGTGTCAAGCTAAATAGCTAGAAATTTATGTGATAATGGAGAATTATTCATCACAAGTTAATTGAATCAATACACTAATAACAGATTCATTGTGAAAGATTTGTAATCCTATGATGAAGCATTAACTATACCAACTGATGAAGGCATATAAGAACCATATAAAAGCAACCTCAAAAGATAATGCAATTGTTTGAATGTGTTAATTGTGGATGACATTCCTTTTAACCATTTGGCCTTTAAAACAGTTTTGAAATATTTCAATATAAAAAGTGACAGCGCATATGATGGATCTATGGCTATTGATATGATTAAAACTCGATACCAAACTTGTAATTGCACTTATAAATTAATTTTCATGGACATTGATATGCCTGGGATTGACGGATATTAAGCCACTAAGGAAATTTATTAATTCTTAGAATAGCAAAATACTAGTACTGTCATCATTATGTGCAGTGCCTTTGATAGCAAAGAGAATATCGATATTGCTTATAAAAGCGGAATGAAGGACATTCTCCCAAAACCAATAGAAAATAGTCGACTCAAAACTATACTATATAAATATTATTTTTGATTATAATACTTATATTATGGATTTTTAATAATTTTTTTTCGCAACTTTTTCATTGCCGTTATCTATTATCAATAGGAATTTAGTGATCAAGATATACTCCCACAATGTTGTTGTATAATTTCGAAGTTATTTTAATTTTAAATAATATATAAAATTCAATTGAATTCCATAGTAATTTTTGAAATTTTTTCCAGTCAATTACAGAAATAGTTGGGAAATTAAATCACTTAAATTCTAATTTTAATATTATTTAAGAATAGTGATAAGATTAGGAGTAGATTTAATGAATTTATGANTATTTTAAGCCAGAATGCCTATAGAAGAAAATTGAGTTTATGATTTAATCGTGTAATGATGCTTTTATCAGAAGTGATTTCGACAGAATTCTCCAAATATTAGTTAATCTATTGAACAACTAAGTAAAATTTACAAGACAACAAGGAGTCATTAAGTTGAATATTTAAAGAGTGGGATCATTGTATCAATTCGAAGTCTATGATACAGGATGTGGAATTTCGACTGAGAAACTATTTTTAATCAATAAAATTCTATCAAACACTGAAGTGGATCTTGCAAGGAGGGGAGAAGAAGATTATATTCAATATGTCGGCTTAGGCCTAAAAGTGTCAAGCTAAATAGCTAGAAATTTATGTGATAATGGAGAATTATTCATCACAAGTTAATTGAATCAATACACTAATAACAGATTCATTGTGAAAGATTTGTAATCCTATGATGAAGCATTAACTATACCAACTGATGAAGGCATATAAGAACCATATAAAAGCAACCTCAAAAGATAATGCAATTGTTTGAATGTGTTAATTGTGGATGACATTCCTTTTAACCATTTGGCCTTTAAAACAGTTTTGAAATATTTCAATATAAAAAGTGACAGCGCATATGATGGATCTATGGCTATTGATATGATTAAAACTCGATACCAAACTTGTAATTGCACTTATAAATTAATTTTCATGGACATTGATATGCCTGGGATTGACGGATATTAAGCCACTAAGGAAATTTATTAATTCTTAGAATAGCAAAATACTAGTACTGTCATCATTATGTGCAGTGCCTTTGATAGCAAAGAGAATATCGATATTGCTTATAAAAGCGGAATGAAGGACATTCTCCCAAAACCAATAGAAAATAGTCGACTCAAAACTATACTATATAAATATTATTTTTGATTATAATACTTATATTATGGATTTTTAATAATTTTTTTTCGCAACTTTTTCATTGCCGTTATCTATTATCAATAGGAATTTAGTGATCAAGATATACTGTAAAATTATTAATAGATTCAATGTTTTCATCAATATTACATTATGGAAATCTAAAATCATTAAATTTTGATTTTTTATAGTCTGCATCCCAATTAAAATCTTAAAAATTCAAAATGATTATGCTTACTCCCACAATGTTGTTGTATAATTTCGAAGTTATTTTAATTTTAAATAATATATAAAATTCAATTGAATTCCATAGTAATTTTTGAAATTTTTTCCAGTCAATTACAGAAATAGTTGGGAAATTAAATCACTTAAATTCTAATTTTAATATTATTTAAGAATAGTGATAAGATTAGGAGTAGATTTAATGAATTTATGATTAGAGATTAATATAAAGAGGAAATTTTGAAAAATGATTTATATGATTTCAACTATAGTGTTATATCTAGAATATTAAGTATTTTTCATTTAATCTGAGAATTCTAGTGAATTATAAACACAAATAAAGTAGTAATTTTTATTATTTATTATATGGTAATAGACTTTCTGATCCTACTTGTAAACTCGATTTAACCAGTAAGATTAGTTTTGGATAAACATTTAGTTTTGATTCTTACATTACTAACAATAAATCCCTAAAGATAGCTAGTATGATAATGGTGTAGTTAATCTCTGATAAATATAGTTTTAGTCAGGAGTGATTATTTGAGTTTATCAAAACAGAGAATGAATGAATAAGAATCTTCTGAATATTTTGGAATATTTCAACTTATTTCCTTCTGTTTCAAGGAGTAAGTGAAATTTTATAAAATTGATTTTAGGAATTTCTTCATAGATTTTTTAAGATTTTTTTGAAATAATATCTTTAGTCAATGAAGTAAATAAATAAGAAAGCATATTGAATTCATTTTTATATCTCAATTTTATTTATATAGTTTGATGGGAAAATTTTAACAGGATTGATAATGTGCATATATTCAATCTAAGTTTTATGTGATATTACTTTAAATTATATTAATTTATTTTTATATAAATACAGAATTAGTCAGTTCTAAAATTAATCAATAAAATCACATTATTATTTTTTTTTATTAATAAATTTATTGAGCAGTTAATGTCCTTTACACCTCGCAAAGTCAAATCATTAAATAAAGAATTATACCTGACGAGCATACTATATAATAGCAAATTTTAGAGAACTTTTACAAATGAGGAAATCTCAAGTGTGTCGAAAAAATTAGATTTTGATTAATTTGACAATCAGATATAAAATCCGACTTCTGTATTGAAAATGAATTCACTTCCTCATAAAGGAATCAGTCAAATAAGATGATCTAATTACGAAATTGTGATTGTTAATTGTAAATAGTTTACTCATACTTTATTAAATTATACATTCAATATTTTATAATCAAAATTATAATTAATTCTTAAGTTATACATAGCACATAGTTTTATTAAAATCATATCTAGTAATATTACTTTTATTCTCAAAATAAATGTATAATTATCAGGTTATCAAATTAATTAAATTCTATTCAACTTTCAATTACTACTATTTTATTTTTTGGCAAATGAAATGGTATCAAATAACTAAAATTTATTAATTTTGAGTTAAAATATTCTTCCGGATTAATCATGATGAAGCTTTTCTAATCTCTCTTTATTTAATAAATTATAATAAAATATTAATAAATTACATTTATAGCTTTAAGTGGTTAAGAATATTTAATTGAATAGTTTTATTATTTACCAAAAATATTATGAAAATAAAAATTTAAGGAGTTTTAATAAAAAAATGAGAATAGACTACAAAATATTTTAAATACTACATATGTTGGTCATTAATTTTATATTTTATTATCATTGGTGCTTCATTACTTACCATCAGCTCCCTTTCCTTGATTCTCTTCAACTTAAGGTTGTTTATCTTCTTTGATATTGTTACTTTCTTATTTTTCTCCTTCAACGCTAAACAGAATTCATCTTTAAAAGTACGAGCCTGAAGACTCTGAATTGTGCGAGTCTTTTGAAGAGCCTCTTGATGAGGACTTTGACTTCCGTTTTGAACTCTTTCGCTTCTTATTCAGTTTCTTTTTCTTATCCCTAGATGAACTACTTGATGAGGAATCTGAACTGGATGAACTCTTCTTTTTTTTATGTTTCTTTTTATGTTTTTTTCTAGACTCACTAAAATTTATTATTATCTATTCTTTACCTACTAGAGCTAGATGAACTAGAAGAAGAAGATCTATGTCTGCAATTCTTAGCACTATCAAAATAGGTAAATGAATAGATATAAAATATATCGTATTCTATAATATATTGTTAAGACGATATAAAACTTACAAATGTCCTGAGTGACCGCAAGAATAGCAAAGCCCATTATTTTTGCTCGGCTTGTTTCCACGAGCCATCTCAACTTATAACACTGATCCTTTTACTTCTTCCTTATTCATTTTTTTAACAGCTTTCTCTGCATCTTCAGGATCCTTAAATTCCTACAATTTAATTCATGATATCTACTATGAAACAATATTTTCCTTTCCAAGCAAATTCTTCAATTTTTCCAAATTTTTTGAATAACTTTTTAATATCATGTTGATCCTCTTTAAGAGAATAGCCTGTCACATATACTCTTTTCTTATTCTTCCTAGGTGACCGTGACCTTGATGAACTAGAAGAAGACATATAATTTAATTAAAGGATACTTTTTTTAATATAATTTTTATACTCAATATTTTAATATTTTTCAACACCTCCTCTCAGATAGTTATATATGCACTTTCATGGACAACTAAATAGAAGCTCTATACAGATTTTAACATTCAATCATGATGTAAAATGGCTAGATTAGTAATTAAGAAGAATAATAATATATAAATTCACAACTAAATATTTTAATTAGTATGAATAGCTTTTTCTTTAATATAAAAAACTTCTACAGTTATGATCTTACTAGTATAATTAACTTAGAGAATTTTTACCAAAATTATTTCATTAGGGCTTGTAATTGATGATATTATTAGATACATCTAAATTGCAAAAGATACTAAAACAATAATCCCACAGATATTCAATTTCTTTAAGCAATAATTTTAGACCTTCGTTAGATTTTAGTCTCTTCAAACCAGGTTTTTATTTTTAAAGAACCGTTATANATAAAAATTTAAGGAGTTTTAATAAAAAAATGAGAATAGACTACAAAATATTTTAAATACTACATATGTTGGTCATTAATTTTATATTTTATTATCATTGGTGCTTCATTACTTACCATCAGCTCCCTTTCCTTGATTCTCTTCAACTTAAGGTTGTTTATCTTCTTTGATATTGTTACTTTCTTATTTTTCTCCTTCAACGCTAAACAGAATTCATCTTTAAAAGTACGAGCCTGAAGACTCTGAATTGTGCGAGTCTTTTGAAGAGCCTCTTGATGAGGACTTTGACTTCCGTTTTGAACTCTTTCGCTTCTTATTCAGTTTCTTTTTCTTATCCCTAGATGAACTACTTGATGAGGAATCTGAACTGGATGAACTCTTCTTTTTTTTATGTTTCTTTTTATGTTTTTTTCTAGACTCACTAAAATTTATTATTATCTATTCTTTACCTACTAGAGCTAGATGAACTAGAAGAAGAAGATCTATGTCTGCAATTCTTAGCACTATCAAAATAGGTAAATGAATAGATATAAAATATATCGTATTCTATAATATATTGTTAAGACGATATAAAACTTACAAATGTCCTGAGTGACCGCAAGAATAGCAAAGCCCATTATTTTTGCTCGGCTTGTTTCCACGAGCCATCTCAACTTATAACACTGATCCTTTTACTTCTTCCTTATTCATTTTTTTAACAGCTTTCTCTGCATCTTCAGGATCCTTAAATTCCTACAATTTAATTCATGATATCTACTATGAAACAATATTTTCCTTTCCAAGCAAATTCTTCAATTTTTCCAAATTTTTTGAATAACTTTTTAATATCATGTTGATCCTCTTTAAGAGAATAGCCTGTCACATATACTCTTTTCTTATTCTTCCTAGGTGACCGTGACCTTGATGAACTAGAAGAAGACATATAATTTAATTAAAGGATACTTTTTTTAATATAATTTTTATACTCAATATTTTAATATTTTTCAACACCTCCTCTCAGATAGTTATATATGCACTTTCATGGACAACTAAATAGAAGCTCTATACAGATTTTAACATTCAATCATGATGTAAAATGGCTAGATTAGTAATTAAGAAGAATAATAATATATAAATTCACAACTAAATATTTTAATTAGTATGAATAGCTTTTTCTTTAATATAAAAAACTTCTACAGTTATGATCTTACTAGTATAATTAACTTAGAGAATTTTTACCAAAATTATTTCATTAGGGCTTGTAATTGATGATATTATTAGATACATCTAAATTGCAAAAGATACTAAAACAATAATCCCACAGATATTCAATTTCTTTAAGCAATAATTTTAGACCTTCGTTAGATTTTAGTCTCTTCAAACCAGGTTTTTATTTTTAAAGAACCGTTATAACAAAATTACTTAATTTAAGGGCTAGAAGAATTTTCAATTTTTTTGAATGATTGTATTCAAAATATTAAAGATTTTACTAAATAGAATGAATATCTTCGGAGTTGAAGTGTTTTATTGTCTATAAATTAAAATTGATTGGTGAATAAATGAGGTAGACAGTCTTATGAGGAAACAGAAATAAACCTAGTATTATGATAATCGAAATTTTGAAAAACAAGGGAAAAAATTGTCAATTCTATCAAAAAAAGTTGCTATTGGTACATTTAAAGTCATTATTCAATTTAAATTTAAAAAGCAGGAAATTCCGGTTGATAAGATTAGAAAACTGATAGAAAATAAAACACTAAAAACTCAAGTATCGACATATTTTGCAAAAGAAAATTTGATAATCTAAACCAAATTTATCATAAATATCTCATATAATTTCGAAATTTCAAGGAAAAAAATTGAGAGGCAGTATGATTTTTATGTTTTATTTTAATCAATTCTTGAAAAAAATAATAATTTAAATATGATTTTTTATTGATTATTCATCGTTAGATTGAATAATTATTAAATTTTCAATAAAGATTTTCATTTAATAAATTAATGTTTTATTGGAATATAATATACTTCATTAAAATAAAAAGACTAAAGCAATACAAAAAATTATTATTGAGAAAATCAAGCAAATAATCTATTTATTATTGTTGAGTTATCTTTTTATGTTATTCACTTAGATCTCTTAAGCTACTTTGGGTTTTTTGTAGAGTTTTAATTTGATTTTTGATTATTGGATTTACAACTATTACTTCTCGTATTCGTTCACTATAATATACATTTAATATACAATATAGTTTTATGGATCTAGCAATTTTCCCACTTTGTTTGATTTCCACCTTTGGTTTTTGAACTTAACTTTATGAGATTTCCTATTATTCTTACGATTAGTTTTCTGCAACGTGAATAGACTCAAAAATTTAGGATTATTACTACGGTATTACTTGAGAAATTTGATTATTTGATAATCTTTATAAAATGTTGCTGCTTCTAAGTGGTACTTCAGATTACAAACTTAAATATTGTTACTTTCTAAATTAATCAAAGGGGTATCGATAACAGTATCTAATAAAAAACTAGTACAGTTTCAATAATTTCAAAGATTCATCTTATAGTTTAAAAGAAACTTCTATTTGCTTCTTTTTTGTTTTTTGTGTTTTTTTTGCATAACACTGAATTGATTAAACCTTAAAAGAATAAAAAAAATAAAATTGGTTGCTTAATATAATTTTTTTAATTTTCAAATTAAGCAATAGCAATCCTGCCTCAAATTTTCTTGTACATATTGCCTTCTATTTTAATTGATTTAAAGCATTTCTATAATTGGAGGTTTCAATAATCAATTTTATTTTTTCCAAATGTTGTGATACTTTAATAATCCATTTTAATTATTGAAATGTTTCCTTTAGGATTTTGTTTTAAAATAAAGAGAGAGCTTTGCTGATTTCTTAACCAGCTATTTGCAATTAAAGCTCCTAAATAATTTTAATTAATTGTTAATTTTGAATTTTTCTTTCCATTCTTTAATAAAATATAGAATTACCCAATATCTTTTGAAACAATTCCAGGTGAATTGCATCCTTGAGAAGATTTGAAAAAACTACTACAATTACTATAATCTATTGCAGCTAATCGTAAAATGATATAAAATGCTTCTTGTTTTTGCAATTTTTTATAGTGTTCTTACATTTTTTGGAGATACATGAACAATTTCTAAGTTGCCATTAATAAATAAATTTATTCGTATCTTAAGGATAATTTACATTGTTGATTCTATATTAGGTCTTCTTTCATTTCTGAATATACTTTGAAAGAGGAACGAAGAAACTGATTTAGTGAATTCTAATCAATAATTTGAAACAAATACTGGAGATGAGTTTAAATAGGATTGATTTGAAATTTAAGTCCTAACTAATGATGCCTCTGATGATAATGAGGTTTATTTCAATAACTTGGTTTGATTACTATTTTTCATTTTTATTTAATGTTAAATTTAGAAATCTCAAATAAGAATATAGGACGTTTTGGAATTCCAGTAGATTGATGGAACTGAATTTATGACTATATGAATAATATCTATCTAGAGAGAATTGATAGAAGATAGACCTGGAGAACCCGAATAAATAGTGATCCCTAAATTAAAGGTAATAAAATCAATATAAGTTTGAGTTACTTGGTGATATTGCTGAATACTTAATAAAATTGATATCTATAAATAATAACCATCTAATGACTCAAATTTAATTATTGTAGTTGGTATCTATCTTTGATTTTCGATACTCTCCATTTGCAGCAGCAGAAACAAAACTAACAAATAATGGATTTGGCTTGAAGTTTTTAGAAGTAAATTCTGGATGATATTGTACTCCAACATAAAATGGATGTTAGTCCTTAGGTAGTTCCAGAATCTTGAGTTGATTAATATAATAATACTTCCATTCTTGAACCTGTCTTCTTATCTTTTCCAGAGAAAATCAGACCTTTTTCATTTAATGTTTGAATCTTCTCAGGATTGACTTCGTATCGATGTCTGTGTCTTTCCTCTACAACTTCAGACTCATATATTTGATATGCGATGCTCTCCTTGTTTCTCAAATAAATAAATTATCTTACTCAATGAATGTTTCATGATTTCCCAATCTCATGTTGCCTCCAAATAACTTAGGATTGATTTCTGGCATAAATACAACAAAGTTTGTTCCAACTTATTCTTCCTTCAATTCCTCTGAAGTAGCATCTTTAACTCCTAAGATATTTTGAGCATATTCAATAACAGCTGCTTAGAATCCATAGCAGATTCCCAGAAATGGTTTCTTCTTTTCACGAGCATATTGACAGCACTTGATTTTAAGATTAAAACCATTAAATCCAAATCCGCCAGGCACAAGGATAGCATCAAATTGATCGCATTCTTTTTCTAGTTATTCTTCTGGATTTGGACTATTTTGGAATTCAACAAGATCGATATATTTCAATTGTAAATTCACTTTAATAGAATAACTTGCCTCTTTCAATGCTTTAATCAAAGACATATATGCGTCCTAGATTCATTAATAAGATTAAATACCAAATTTTTCATATATTTTCCCATAATTCCTACAGTAACAGGCTTTTATTACTCTAATTCTTTCAAGTATTATCCAAATTTTGTGTATTATTAAATATTAGGAACTTTTTAAAGTGGTAACTTGAACTTATCTAAGATATGTTCAGCCAACTTTTATTTTTGTAATACTTCTGGAACATCATATATGTGTTGAGAATTTGGAACAGAAAATATTGAATCTTTAGATATATTACCAAACATAGCCAATTTATCTCTTTGTTGTATTTACAATTCGGTTTCAGATCTACATATTATGAAATCAGCTATCAATCCTGTATATCTAAGATCCTTTATTCCATTTTAAGCGGGCTTTGTTTTTTACTCATTATTCAATGTTAAAATATAAGTAAGCATAATCTAGAATGTATTAATATCTTACCAAACCAACATTATCCTTCCCCTCCTCATTTATCATTTATCTCACAGCCTCATAATAACAAGTGGATTCCAAGTCACCCACAGTTCCTCCCACTTCAACCAACAATATGTCTGGCTTTTCAACAGTATCATGTTTCAATGGTACAGTTGTTAAATGTCTAATCCAATTTTTAATTTCGTCAACTACATGAGGAATAACCTAAACTGTTTTTCCTAAATAATGTCCTTCTCTCTCCTTTCTATCTCTATAACTAATATTTATTACTGTAATATTTTTTAATATAATTTCCCACTTGTTAAACTATGGTAAAATGATAACTCGATATCTAAGAATCTTTCGTAATTTCCAATATCCAAATCAACTTCTCCTCTAAAGTAATCATTTAATTGCTTACCCATCTCCTGTAACAAATACTTCGCCATGTTCATATGGATTCATTGTACCTGCATCTATATTCTACTTTATTAATATATCATACTAAATATGGATCAATTTTCAAGAATGACACCTTATAACCATATTATTTCAATAGCATTCCTATACTGCTATTTATGGTTCCCTTTCCAATCCCAGATGCAATTGCACCACAAATAAACAAATACTTACACTTATTTAACATATTATTAAATAATGGATTAAGTTTTTAATCATTTAATAAAAAGAGCAACTCCTTAACCCATTGTTAAAGTTGGAACACCTTGGCAATGCATTCCTATTAAAAATGATAAACAAGCAAGAGATACAACAGAAGTTCATATGGCTAATCAAGGATTTAATGAATTGGCACAATTTGATAAGTTCATGAATCTGGAAGTGGTTTGGCTTAATGAAAACTAAGTACAGAATCTCCCTTATTTATTTGTAGTTGACCAGCATAAAAGGCGTTGAGTAAAATTTCAGAATTAAACATCTATATTTGCAAAAGAACAAAATTAGTACTCTTGAGGGACTATAAAATTTGAAGCATTTAGAAACATTGAGTTTGTTCAACAATGAATTAAGAGACTTGGAGAAAAATCTGTTGATTTTAAAAGAGTTTCCTGGGCTTACAACTTTGGGTTTTTTAATTTTGTTATATTGTCTTAGATCTATTTAACAATCCAGTGGCAGAGGAGCCCTATTATCGAAACAGAGTGATTTCAGCTCTCCCTCAATTACAATTACTGGATCGATCAATAATAACTGTCCAAGAAAAAATCAAGGTTGAAGCATGGTACAAGGATTTCAAAGCAGAAGTTAAAATTAAAAAGAAAGGGCAGAAGAAGCAAAAATTACTTCCATCTTAAATCTTCTCTGCTGGGGAGAAATTACTCTATAAGGAAGTCGATGATATCAAAGCGAAGAGAGAATAAGAAAAGGCCGATGAGATACAAAGGGAGAGAACTCGAATTAAACAGAAGGAGAAAACCTTTGATCCTAACAAATTTCCTACGAATGAATTGAAAGAGTAATTAAGACAGCGACTTCATGACAATCCTATGAGTTTAGTAAATGAGTGGGAGAAGGGGAAGCTTAAGAAGATATTTAAATCATATGATAAAGGTAATAAAAATGAAATTTAAACTAGAAAAGAAGGGATCAATCACTTAAGATAAATTGTAAGGATTGTATGGAGATTTAATGAATGACATAGCAAATATTGGTAAGGTTCCTGCTGTGTCTTTTGAAAAATTTAAAGAAATTATGTTAGAGGATCCATTACCTTGGGACTCCTTTTGCTTTCAGTTGAACCATGTAGATTTTGAAAGGGCACCTGAAGATCTACTACAAAAGAAAATAGACGAGAAATACAAGGAATTCAATCGAAGATTAAATGCAGGAAAGAAAGCTGAGGCAAAAGAATTCATGATTGAAGCAGTGAGACTTGAAGCAGCTAGAGATAAAGATGAGCATAAGTACATTAAGATAATAAATATAAAGATTACCTGAGATTATACCTGATGACAATACGAAAATAAGGAGTGATTGCTTTGATTTTTCAAGATATAAGTACAAGTAGAATTTTACAGATACTGCAAAATATCTATTACAATGAATTCATTATGATTATCAATATATTCTGATTGATTATAATCACATCTTATATTCAGACGAGATCTCTTAAGAGTTTACGAATAAGGGGATTACCATCTCATTTGATAATAATTTAATTATAAACTTATTATTGATATATGATAACTTTTAAAGTCATATTACCTGATTAATCAGAAGGGGAGTATCAAATTTCTAAAACTTCAAGTGTTAAGGAATTTATCCAAATCATAAGGGAGTAGAATTAAGATAAGGATTGGAATAATTAGGAACTAGAGTTACATTTATTTGATTAATTACTCAAAGAGGAAGGATCCGTTGATAAAATCATCTGTAATCACTAAACTGATAGTTTAACCTTGAAGGCAAAGAAGAGAGAAGGAATCAAAAAATTAAAAACATTTGTATCCTTAGTTATGCTGAAAATGTAAGAAAAGACAGAATCTGGCATGAATGGATTTAAAATGGCTCTGAAGAAAAGTTCTACACTTTAAGAATTACCAAAAACAACGTAAAAAACAAATGTTAGAAAGTTATTGACATTCTTGTAAGATGCCACTATTAAAATAGCATAGATATCTAGATAAAAAACTTAAAATTTATATGAAAAAATTTAAATACAAGAAAAAGGGAAACATTTAACTACAAGTTAAGATCCCAGTCTAATAAATCAAGAGGAGGATCCCATTAAAAATAATAATGATACTGTGTTAGGGTTATTGGATCATCTAGAAAAGCCTAATAACCAGAATTTCTATCACAAAAACAATGAAACTTAAGCTAAACCTAAATCACTGAGTCCAGAAGCTAGAAAATACTTGGAAAGGAAGAAGAAGGCCATTGAAAATCTGAATGACCCAATACAATAAGCAAAAGCTAAATAATTGGTTGCTGAATTAAAGAGATAACGAAGAGAATTAGAAGAAAGGAAGAATAAATAATTGCATAATGAATCTGATCAACTTGAAGAAAGCATTGAGAAATACAAAATGGAAAGAGAATAAGAGAAGGAGTATCTCAATTAAGAGAAGCGATAGAAAATAATGGAAAGATTATCATAAATGCAGAAACACCAAGAATAATAATTACAAAGAAACTAATAGCAGAAATAACTTATTAATGAGTTGAAAAACAAAGAAAGAGAGAAAAGAAAACAATAAGAGGAGAGAGAAGAAATCTTAAAAAAATAGTATTATGAAGATGCCAAGGTAATTCAATTGTTGATAATTTAAGGTTAAATTACAACAAAGAAAAAAACTAGCCGTTCCTATCCGATTAGATGAAATCAATAAACACGAGGAGGATTATCTTAATAAGAAATAGCTATTAAAGTTAGAGAAGGATCAGAAGAAATTAGAAAGGGAGATAGTGATATAACAAGAAACAAAGTAAATCTATAAAGCCAAAGATATTTTATAAAAAGTCATTGATGTGGATTCCAAATTCAAAAATAAAGAAATTGTGGAAAAATAATAAAAGGCTGAAAAACTATTAAGAAAATAAAAATATGCAGAGATAGTTAAAGAATATCACAAGCCAAACATTAAGGTTTAAACGGACATTTAATTTAGTAGAGCTTAGCATAACAAATCTGACAATTCATTATAAGAGGAATATATTGAGTATTAAATTTAAGATTTTAATAGCTTTTTGAAAGAAGGAGAAGGAAAATAGAGTGCAACAAAGGTAGATTCAATTCGTAATAAATTACATAAATAAGCATAATAAGGATCAGGTATTTTTGTAAATAATAGTAGAAAGGAATGTACATAAAATTTAGAATGTTTTAAACCTTTAGAAAGTACAAAAAACAAAAGTGACAGAATCATTGTAAAAAGGGTTTGTACCAAATCCATCAGTTTATTATCAACCAAAGCCAATGAAAAGTGAAGCTTAATTGGAAGAACTATAAAAGAAGAAGCCCATAAACTATTTGAAAGAATTAGAATAAGAGAGAATGAATTAGTAAGGAAGGCTAGGTTAATTAAAAAGCAATAGTGTTCCAAGATTGCAATAGGATTACCGATCAATTATGGAGAGAGGCAAACGGTACGAAAAGGAAGCTTAACGAAAAGAACATCAAGCATATTATTTGAATGATGAGAAACTGAAAGAAGAGGCAGATGATCTATTTTTAAAAAGTGTTTAAGAAAAAATAAGATTCTTAGAGAAGATTTGATGAAATATTTAAATTAAGCTATAAACTTGAAATAGTTAAATTATATATTTATTATTTTTCTAATAACGATAGTATTATTCAAGTAACCGATTTTTATTGATAAGTGAAATGGCTGTGAATTTATTGTATGAAGAGACCATAAAGGAGGGAAATAATTATATGATCCAATAAAATTAAAGGTTTTAACATCATATATCTAAAATTATTATTTATAATACATATATTAACATCAATTGATGGAACTTCCTCCTATTCCAGTTTAAAAAATTCAATCATAATTAGGAGCTGATAATCTTGTTTCCTAATAACGTATTTACAATCCCTAAACTCAAAATCAAGAAACTGCGAAACCTCCAAAGTAATTTTTGTTTTTATTAAAGGCGAAACTTCAATTTAAAAGTAGGTGACATAGTGTATTTCAAGTCCTATTTGATCGACGACTATAAAGGAGTTATTTCAGGTGATGGCATTGCAAGCAATAAGTTAGAATGTATTTAGATATTGGGAAAAAATCAGCAAATTATTAGTCAATCAAAAAAATGTTTACAATAAAAGGTGGGCAGTTTATCATTCTAGAAGAGCTTATTTTAGGTTATCACAGGCAAAAAATATCATTATTAAAACTTTTTAGAATAAGAGCGTTCGAAATCGATAGATGATATTAGAGAATAGGCGATAAATGAAGCAATTAATTTAGAACTTTGCTAATCAGAATATGAAAGTAGGTTAAAAGAACTTGAAGATAAGGCTAAAGAAGAAATTATAGAAAACAAGCGTTATTATGATCTTGCTTACGGATCCAATATTGTCTATGGTTAAGAAATCCAACTTAAACACATCTATTCTTCTTGCATTCTGTCGTTTAATAGTGCAAACTTAGCAAAGGAAAATTGTTGCAGAGAATTATCGTTAGAAGAAATTCCAAATGTAAATTCAAATTTTAGAATTTTATCAATGAATCAGGTTAAAAACCCAGGAGAACCTATCTTATATGGAGATCAAATAATAATTCAAAATTCAAGTTAGAATAAATGGTTTATTAATATATAAAAGCCAAGTCAAAAATACGATAAGAAGGATGGATTAGAAGTAAATTGTTCATAAATAGGATTTCCGATAAAAATTGCAAGCTATGTTGATTCTAAAACTGAATAAGAATTGAAGGAACAATCATTAAAATAAAAAGCCCTTCTTAGTGGAGATGTAGTAACAATAAAAAATAGGTATTTGGGTGGATATCTATCTATCTAAAGATAAGTTAGAATTACTGAAGGGCTTGATTAAACAGAAGTCTTTATCAAGAATTCTGATACAAATATAAGTTATTCAAAAGATTAATTCTATTTTAATGTAGAATAGGTGAAAAATGAAAAAATTAATTATATGTATAAACTATATGTGGATACATCAGAAAATGCAGAAAATAACTTAAACAACTTATGGCAAATTCAACACGTCAATAGTTTAATGTTCTCGAGACCAAATTATGATAGTGTTTTCTTAATCAGACATGTTTGTACTGGGCTATTCCTGGAAATCACTAATCACAATGCAAATCTAACTTATGATGGATTAAAATAAGAATGTCAATTTCATTTAAGATCTAAGAAGAACTCAGATGATCAAATTTTGTTTAGTGAAGCTTACAAATTATAATCATTTATGAATGTTTCAATTGATGGTTATGTTACTTAAGAAAATTTGGTCATCGTTTGTTTAGATGATAGAGTAACAGTTCAAAGGAAGAGTTAAAAGTAAAATATGGAAAGAGTCACTTTTTTGCTAAAGCTAGCGACTCCAGAGTAAGCTAAGACTGCCTTTAGAATTAATTCTTTATAAGAATATTTAATCTAATTCTATATTTTTCTTTAGGATTGGGGTATAGTTAGGACGTCAGCCTAAGGTTTAGAAGATATTAGAACATATGATTATTATGAGGCTTTTAACAGTTAGAAGAGATTGTATGATGAAATTTTATAATTATTTTAAACTTTGGAAAACTTAAAGATGTACTTAACTAACGAAGGTCAAGCTCAAACAAATGAATAACAGCAATTCAAGTAAAAAGCTTTAATGGATAATGATATTATTAATTTGCTCTTTGCAATTTAGCGACTATGCAATTTTATGATATATGGGAGTTTGATTAATGACAATTCATAAATCTTAGATAAGACTCCTTAGAAGATTGCAAAATCGAAACTAGACCCTACTACTTCATCATCATAAAAACTGAATTGTATATAAGAAATATATGATGTACTTAGTTTATGCGTTTAAAAAAATCAGGATACAAGCAATTATGTTTTGACATTAAAAATGAATAAGGAAAGTATTTTAGATTTCCTTCTGCAATAATTAAAATATCAACGAAAACATATCTCAAACCTCATTAAGGAAAGTGTAAGATATACTGATATGAGTGAATCGAAAGACAATATTAAAAAGTGGGTGAATCAATTGGAAAATATATCTGAAGATAATATTGAAGATTAAACTCTCTATATAGAAATTTTGAGTTTGATAATGATAGATCCTTATGAGAATCCAAATATCTTATGTTAGAATGCTTGCAGAAGATTATTATTTGGAACAAAAAGTCAATAAGAGTAATAATCTCCTTTTCATAATGTCTTAGTATCCTTAGACATATAAGAAGATAACAACAATATGTATCCAATAGTTTAATTTTATCCAAAAAGGGATAAAGGATCATATATGCAATATGTTAATTAGTTTGGTTAGAATAATTAGATGTTTTGCTAACTTTACTTAAAGTTTATTGATAAATAGGTAAGGACTACTAAGAGATTTTTAAGTAACAGTCCCAGTTTAATAGATGTGGTAATTGATTTCTTTACAATTGAAGCACTCAAAGAAAATTAATTAGTAAAGTAGGAAGATGTTAAATTGGTTGTTCCAATTTTCTAGAAATACGAAAATTATTTAATGAATGTAATGGGTTTATATTCTTCATTGTGTAAAGGAAGAAATTAAAAAAATATCAAATGTTTAATGAAAAATTGCTTTTTAAACTAAAAGTTCTTGGAAATATGTCTAAAACGTTAATAAAATGTTAAATCTGAGCTTAGATTCGAAAAAACGTTAATTGACTTGTTCTGTAATTTATTCTTAGACATTGATCCATTAATCAAGATATCCTAAAATTATGATCCCTTTTATAATAATACTTAAACAAATACTATTAAGTGTTACTTAAGTGACGACATTGATTAATTCAACATATAGAATCCCTCAGGACTATATTTTTATGAGAATAATGCCTCAAAATCTTTAAAACGTAGTGATGATTATTAGAGTTTTCTTCACCAAAAAGAAACAAAAGCAGAACATTAGTAACTCAAACTGTATGCTGCTAAAATGTTGTCTAGATCTCATATCAATGATGTTCGTTTGTACTATTTAGAAATGTTTACTAAGGAGGAATATCCAGAACATCTATTGATAGAGGCAAGTTATGATATCTTTTAATCCAAAAAATCTAACCAACTAAATAAGCAGAAATACGATTACTCTCGTCTAGCTTATTTACAATTGCATTACTTCTTAGGACTATTGACAATTATCAAGAATAGCATAAACTTAGGCTATAATTAACTGGATGAAAATTAGAAAATATTCTCAATACTTCCTAATATCTTTGTAGGCTTGATTTTATAATAGATTCCTGATATGAGAATACACCGATTTTCAGAAAATCACACATTTGTTTCAAATTTGAATAAATTGAGAGAGTCAGTTGATGATAACATTTGGGTTGCTACATTCTTACCTTCTGCTGAATAATTCTATCAGAAAAAGCAATCAAAATACAAGGGTCTAGATAAGGATTATAAAAAAATGGAACAATCATCTAAGATGTATATGTAATTTTAAAGAAATTGGATTCTATATTTATTAATATGGACTTATTAATATTGTAATGATGATATAATTAAAACCCAAATCTATTTGGAAGCTTTGTCGATTCTGAAAATCTTTGAACAATTAAAATTAAATTTATAAATTCTAGAATTCCTATTTAGTTCATCCTAATAGAATGAATCAAATCCAAGTTCTCCAAGTGTAAGGGATTTTGATTAATTTGGATTTGACGAAGTGATAAATCCAAAAGTCTAGATTAAGAAATCAAAGACTATAACTTCCAAATCCATTTATAGTGTTTTCAAAGAACCTGATGGAAATAGCATCTGCGGATTATTATTTACTTGCTTATTGACATCAGGGAAAAGAACTAAATTAAATGAAGAATTGTTGCAAAGAATAATTTAAAGTTTCCATGCACCCAAATATTCAATCTAAGAAATCAGTTAAGTTGAAATCATTGATAATTAATAAGAATTGAGATACTTTTCAATTATTAATGGAAATTCAAACAGTATTTAATTGATAAGTCCTAAGGAAGCTATACAATTATCAAAAAGAGCATTAAAATTCATTCAAAGTGAGAAAGATGATAATTTAAATTAAAAAAGGGCTACATCCTTTGATATCTTAAAAGGATATTCAAATAGAATAATTGAATAATTTGAAATGTTTTTTAAACCAAATTCTTAAGATTTATAGTATTTAAAGTCCTTTTAAAATATAGTAAGGAATGCAAATGTGCATCTAATATTTTTGAAATTTTTAGTAGAACCAGAAACAATCATAAGTTCAAAGGAGATAGTTTTTTTCTATAAAAGAATTGTTCTATTTATGGAATATTTCATACTAGATAATGATACTAATATTTCAATTTTAGCCAATAATGAGTATTTATAAAGAATTCTTGATGTCATTTAGATACCTTAGCCATAAGCAGATGATAAGTTCTATATTCCAATCAAAGTAACAAAATTAGCAATCAAAATTATATCCTCTATCCCTGAAAATCAGCATGATAACTTGATAAACTAAATATTCGAAAGAATTTACAAGTTAGGAAATAAGTTGACATAAAGTCAAGAATTTTACCTCAAGGTCTATAGTACAAGGGATGAAGAGGAAGAAATTAAATTTATTAAAAGAAGTAATCATGAAAACGCAGTGACTTATTTCTCTTTGATTTAATATTTTAAGATTTTAAGATCCATGACAAAATCCTATGAAAAACCTGCAAAATAGATGCCCTTGAATAAACATTTAATCTTATCAAAGATCTTAAAGAATGCTTTTCTTAGAATAATCTTAGACCCAGTGAACTATTATAAGGATATACTTATCCCAGAATTGGTTATTGAAGAGGAGTATGTGAAGGACCCTTTGCTGTATCATAGAATAAAATTACACTCAGAAATAATCATATTGTTGACTGAGTGTTGTCAGTTTTATAGAATAGGCATTTAGGAGCTGTAAAGAATATTACTGTATGAATAATTAAAAACCATTTTATTAAGTCCTAAAGTTGAATACATTGTTAAGAGAGCATATTTATAATGCTTATTTGAATTATATATAAATTAAGTAAGGGAAGGGTAGTTTGTTAATGATACAGTAGAGAGCGACGAAGTTAGAGATATACTATCCAGAGTAATAATCCCAGAGTTAGATTAGAAATAAGTCTGCAAATATTTGGAAGGGTTGTCTAAATTAGCTAATCAAGATAGAAATATGAAGGTTACTTAAAGAGATTTGAGAGATTCAATTTAAAGATAGAAGCTGACTTATTTTGAGAATAAGCTTTCTTTTGATTCAAAATTTGTTTAAGAATAAGGAATATTAAGGGATTTAAGTGAATATTGGAAGTATTTAAGGAAAAATGGAATAGTCCATTTCTTAGTTTATACTTATGACGAAATGAAAGATAGAACTGATCTAGAAAATCCAGAGAATTCTAGTTTATCTGATGAATTTGCAATTATTAAATAAAATGTTTAAAAAATAAAGGAGATTTTTAATGTTTTAGAGAGAGATTTTAGAGTGAAAAAAGAAGATTTGGATTTGGATGATTACAGAGAATTGATAACTTCGATTGAAGAAATCATCCCATAAAGAAAAATTACTAAATTCGGTCAGAATTTTAGAATAGGATTCCAATAGGATAAGAATACTAAATTAGTATTTGATAAGTATGATACTTTGAAAGAGGATCAATCAGGAGACAAGAAGTTGTAAGAATAAGACAATGTTCAGAGAATAGAAAATCCCTTTAGGAGAAACTTTAAAGTGTATCTAATTAGATATAAAGTTACTATCAATTAATTTAATTAATACATTGAAAATAAGGCAAATGAATAAGACAGATTATAGAAGATTTTGGATACTTGCAACATTTATAAGACATACATCTAATAGAGTGATATTGATGAAATCTTTAAAGTGAATATAGAATAAATTAAGAGATTAGAATAGGTAAATAATAGAAATAGAGTCATAAGCGATTGGGAGCTATTTAAATAAGCTATGAGGGAATTATTTGAAATTAAAACTACTTAAATTGGAATAAACTAGTAAGTGTAAGCGTATTTAAGATAATAAGAAGGTTTAGAGAATCTTAAATAAGAGTTTGGAATAGCTAGTCGCAAATTAATTGGTAAACAATACAAAAAACTTGGAGGTTAATTAGAAGGCAATGAAGATTTAATATCAGATGATATTTAAATAGAATTGCTAATCAAGACTTTAGAGAAATAAAATACAAACATATTAAATGAGGACAATGTATAAGAATTTTTAGAAAAATGCTAAGGCATATTTTTAAACAGAGAAATCTATTTAATCAAATTATGCAAAATATTCTTGTTGTTGAAAAGACCCACCCAAGATGACATCGATTCACTTACAGAAGCTAAGGATGAAAAATCTAAAGAATAAATAAGGTTGAAATAATAAATATTCATAAAATATCAAAATGCTATGGTGGATAGTGATTTGGACATATTAGCATTAGAGATATTGAATGACTCTGATGATGATTAACATAAAATCGAGGCATTATAATTGTTAATTTATTTATTGGATTACGGAAACGACTATGTCTAGAAAAAGTTTTATAAGATCCTTAAGTATGATTAAGTAATTAAATAAAAATTCTTTGTTTTTCTTCGAGGGTTCTTCTTGACTGATATTAATTCAAGGGTATTAGAACTAGAATTATGTGAAGGCAATAACACTGAATATAAAATACTTTGTTTGAAAGTCCTAAAATTATTATAGGCATTGTGTGAAAATGTCAATGTTGATTTCTAAAAGTTTTTAGTTTGCTAATACGATGATGATTCATATCAAGCCAATATTAATATTGTTAATGAAGTAGCAAGTTTATTAGCAGATTTATTGGAAAAAGGATAGAGTGTATTTTATAAGCTGTAAGAAATCTACAGATAAGCCTTAGAGAGCTTAGTTGAATTCTCTACTGGATTTGAAGAAAATAAGAAAGAATTATGTAAAAATACCCGATTGTTTACGTTATTAAACTAAATTTTATAGAAAGAAGACTTGTTATCATTCAAATAATTGGAGGAAGAGAATAGAAATATAATTAAAGAAAATTTATTAAAATCATAAAATCAAGAAGAAGATCTTATCATAAATTTAAATAAAAATCAGATTGATATTCAAGAAAGAAAATATAACTCATATTAGACACTTCAATCATTTATTAAATTATTATTGTTGATAACTCAAGGAAAACATGACAAACAATGTTTGAAATTCATACTCGAAACTGTGAACATTACTATTCTAATGAGAATCTCGAGATCCATTTATTAAGATCGTATTAAACCTAAATAGAGAAATATCATATTAGATAATATTTGTGATGAATCAAAGACTGGACAACATTAATATTGTTCCAATAATCTCTGCCATTTTGGGTTAAGAACTGATGAAGATAACCTATTAATGCAAACTGGTTTTAATATTTTTATTATTTGCCTTACATTATCGGAACATTTTCCTAAAGACCCCTCATTAGAAATTTTTAAATTCGATGAAGATCAAGATGAATAGGATGAATTGATTGATTTAAGTGATCCCTTATACGATGATCTACAAAGGAAAAATACTGCCTCTTCTTAGAAAGTAGTACCAATCTTCGTTAAAGATTAGAATCATGATAAAGAAGAAGAAAACGCTCTATTAAGTAATCAAATAAGATAACCCTAACAAAATGAATTTAAATAAATCTATGAAGATATCTAGAATGATGAAAATTTTAAGTTTACTAGAAAACAATAGTTTTTTAAATTCTATAGATAATTTACTGGTAGAATTGAAATTTAAAATGAGTAATCTGAACTTCAAAAGGTTTTCTTTTAAAAACCCTTTATTTGCAATTTTGTTACTCCAAATATTAAACAGCATATAATTTTTGAGATCAAAAGAGAAACAGATGAAGATAGAATGTAAGGTTTAATTGATTAAGCTGATTTTTATCAGGTTTAAATGAGACATTCGTAATAAATTAACAATAGCTTTATAATGCATTTTGGAGCAGTCTATTGGAGATTACTAAAAGACATATCCTTCATACTTTGTTTGGTTATAGTAATTCTCTTGATTTTTATGCATGACATTGTTGTCAATAGTAAATTAGGTTCCAGTTAAGAAGCACCTGAGGCAGAAAAAAAAGTACCTGGAGAGAACTTTGTAAGTTATCTTAATAATGTAATCAATATCTATTAATTTAGATTATCACCATTATTTAATTAGTATTGAATTTAATTATTGTATTTTTCTGTGCTATAGAACGATATCCAATATCAATTACATATAACAGAGGTGAAACTAATGCTAAAAGAGTTTAGATCTTAAAAAAGGAAGCTGGATTTTCAATAGCCTGGTTGACAATGAAATATTATAGTATTGTTGGATATTTTGAATAGGAATTTTAAGGATAAAAAGTAAGTGAAAGCACTGTTAAAAAACTTATTCTTGTAATATTTTTTGATTTTGATAATTTTTACAATGTAAATATGACTTTAATATAAATAGATTTGGATGTTTGGACTAACAGTTTATGCATTTTTTAATCCTTACATCTACGCAGTACTGTTGTTAGATATTATTAAGAGGTCTGAGGATCTTTAGAATATTATAAAATCAATTACATCTAATGGTAGAAATCTAGCCATATTCTCTTTTCTTGGTTTTATTGGATTACTAATTTATGCTATAATTGCATTCTCAGACTTTGATTGGATGTTCAATGATGAGGATGGTGTTTATGGATAAACATTTATTTTAGCAGTAACATCCACAATTAATTTTGGTCTTCGTAGCGGTTTAGGTGATTCAATGAAAAAATATCCTGAACCATATGAAGACCCTACATTATATTGGGGTAGATACTTTTTTGACTTCTCATTTTTCATAATATTTAATATTTTGTTTATCTAAATAATCTTTGGTATTATTTTAGATACATTTGGTGAATTGAGAGATGAGAGATAAGCCTTAGTGAAAGAAATCGAAGGAAAATGTTTTGTTTGTAGTATTGATAAGAATGATATTGATACAAAGTAATATATCCTCTTTATTTTTAGTGGATCAAAAGGCTGGCATTATCATATATATCTAGAACATAGTGTCTACCATATGCTCTACTATATTATTTATATTAAGAATAAAGATCCTAATGATTGTAATGCTTTGGAGAAGTTCGTAAAAAAATGCTTAGATGACAAGGAAACCGTATTTTTCCCTTTTAGAAGAGCTTTATAAATTGAAGAATAAAATAATGATGAAGACGAATTCAATGACCAAAGTGAATCCTGATATAAAACTATATTTAATATATATTTTCGTTCTACATAAAATAACTTATTTATAAAGTGTACGATTGTAAAATAAAATGAATCTTTTGATTATTAATCTATTCAACTTTTTGATTCAGCGTGCTAGAACTCTAATTTATTTATTTCGATTCCTTTAAAATTTGAAAATTTAAATAAAATGCAATTAATTATTGTGCAGAGTAATGTAATTGATTTTTTAGAATCTTTAAAAGGAATAATTTAATATAATAAATAAGTTTTGAATAAGTTTATATATTCATTTATTAAATTAATTATAAAAAATGAATTCACCCAGCATCCCAAACAAAATAATTAATAATTAATATGCTCTAAAGAAGAAATTATCAGCTGGGTCATATGGAGTTGTTTTTGAAGCTGAAGACTTATAAAAAAAACAAATGGTTGCTGTTAAAATTGAGAAAAAAGAGAAAAATTCAACACTTGATCGAGAAATACATATTCTTACAAGATTATTAGGTACTTAAGGAGTTCCAAAGTTAATTTGGAGTGGAATCGACAGCAATTCCAATGTACTTGTTTAATAACTGTTAACAAAGGATATTGGAGCATATTTAAAAGAATATCGATCATTTTCATTAAAAACTGTCTTAATCATAACAGATTATCTATTATAAATAATTAGGAGAATTCATAACAAATCTGTTGTGCATAGAGATTTGAAACCAGAAAATATCATGTTTCATTAAAAACAAATTTACATTGTTGATTTTGGTATAAGCAAACTTTATAGAGATAATAATTTAAAACATGCGTAAGAATTATATAATTTATGAAAATAGTCCATTTAAAGAGGGTCGATCCTTTGTGGGAACCACAAGATATGCTTCAATAGCAGCGCATAAAGGTTAGGAACTTGGAAGAAAAGATGATCTTGAATCATTGATTTATATAGATATTCTATTGTTAAAAGGGTATTATTCAGTGATTAGATTAGAATAAAGAACTTTGCCATGGTAGAACATATTAGGCTAAAATAACAAAGAAAGATAGAAATAAGTTGGTGAAAAGAAAATGAAAATGACTCCTACTGAGATTTGCATTGATCTCCCAATTGAATTTTCAAAGGCTTTAGAGTATTTATAATAGTAAGAGTATAGATACATAAAATCATTACAGTATCAAAGCGATCCAGATTATGATTATTTGATTTAACTCTTTAGAAAATTAGCTTAATCTCGAAGAATTGAATATGATGATGTCTATGACTGGACTTAATCATAGAATTAGTTTTTAGCAAGTAATTAAAAATAAGAAACTACTATTAAATAAATATCTTCTCTACAATAATTCGAAAGATCTCCAAGAGCTATGTAAAATAAGTGGTAATAATACAGTCATATAATAGTTAATCGTTAAAGATACCCTCAACATATGATATATTCTAAGATAGAAAAAAGTCGGTATAGAACACTTCATAATTAGTGTTATTGTAAGATGAATTAAATAAATCAGTCTTAAACACTTATGTACTTAGCTAAATTGCAAACGATTATGATTCAAAGCATGACTATATTTCTTAAGATGATGTTAATGACACTCTATTCTAAAGATACAATTAGTTAAAAACTCAAGTCTTTTAAATGTATCTCTTAATCTATACATAGACATCACTTGTAAAATATCAAGAATCAAACTCATAAAATAACAGTCAATTGATTTTATCTATATATAAAAAAATACTTAAAAATTCTAAATAATATTTATAATGTCGAATATGTCAGAATATTCATAGTTTCAATCAGAAATTTCTTAATTTCAATCCAAACTAACAATTAGTGATAAGGACAACTTTAAATTCTGTTATAACAACTACAAAACACTGAAATAGCAGATAATCAAAGCACAATAATACTTTTCAAAATTTAACTTTTTACTAGAATTTTATGATCTTTTAGAACAGTTTTAAAGCGATAAGCAAATTGAAGAGTATATGAAACTTTATTATCCCCTTATTCCAATTCTTTTTAATAATTAGATATATTCAGGAATTTTGGAAGAATCATTATTTTAAGAAGAAGAAATTGAGAAATTAATAAGGTTTACAAATAATCTAAAAAGTTTAGAGGGGATAGAGTAAATTAATTAAATTTTTAAGAATCCAAATGATTTGAAACTCAGATCCTCTATTTAAAGACATTCCATTTATTCCAATAATGAATAATAAATTTGTAGAATACCATATTAAGTTTGCTATGCTTACTTTTATTCATTTCATCTTAAATTTTAGCAAAATGGACTTTATACCTGTTATTAGAATTACAATAAGCTAAAAATAGCATTAGGAAAAATAAAGGAATTATTTATGTAAGAAAGAAAACTTTATAAGCTCATGGATATAAATATAAATAATTTAAAATCTCTAAAAATACCTAAGTTGAAACTCATAGATTTAAATATGAATAGTGAATAGATTAAGTAGAGTTTTAAGTAAAAAATACATTTCTTTTAATTTGATAATATAGAAATAGAATATTTACAAAAATTTTCAGTATTTGCCAATTGTATTGCTAATCATAATTTCGGGAAAAAAAATTATTTTGAACTCTCTAAAACTACTGTTTCACACAATAATCTACTTTAAATCACCTCTCAAGGGGATGACTATGTGATATAATTTGAATTAAAGGACTTAGAGAAAAATGAAATTCTTTATAAATTTCAATTGAAGAGTAGAGGTTTGATTGACTTTCAATTTTCAGAAAATACCAAATATTTTTATATATTGTAATCTTTTGTTTTCACATTATATGAAGTTGTGAATACATCTGAAATTTTGAATTTAGAGATTAATTTGGATTATTAGGAAGAAAGGTATGTAAATGCGAGATTTTATTAAAATGATACAAAATTAATTTTACTTTCTGATTTGTACATAAAGTTACTTAGTTTCAATGGTTCGAAATTTTAATTAGGTAAAATATTCAATATTTACAATATAACTCTGATTAATGAGATTTAAATTATTCAATAGCAGAACTCAAAGGACAACATTATTGAAATAAAAGGAAGGTTAAACACGAAAAACTCAATTTATTTGTAAATCAATGAAGATTGTGGCTAATTAATAAAATATTTCATATTTTGAGTGATATATATAATTAAAATGAAGATTGAATCAGTTTTTGTGATTTTTTGTTTTTTATTTCATTTACTTAATTAAATATAATTATATTATCTTAGTACTAAAATAATAAGACAAAATGCTGAACAAATTAACACTAAGTTTTAAATCAGATGCTATTGAACAAGAATTTAGAGATAATCAATCAATAAAAGTAAAGGAAGAGTTTAACTTATTCACAATTTAATGTTTGGTATAAATAATATATTAACTGAGCTTTTTTTCCCCTTTTATTTATCGTCGTACTTTCAATCAGAATACTTTAATTTGACTAGTATTTTGATAATATTTATAATTGCTGGGATGATTATAGTGTTCAAATTAATTATAGACAGTTATCCAAAATATGCCATTATAATATTGCCTGCTCTCTAAATATTATTTGCTATTGTTTGGAGCATAGACAATTTATAGTAATCGCCTTATATTTCATCATATTCATGGTTTTATGGCTTTTAATCATTTTATTTTCATTCTGGTATATATTTTATATACAATAGCCATCATGTAGCAAGGTTATTAAATTTTGCCTTAGGCAATAAGCATTTTAGGATTATATATAATGTTTATAATCTTGTATATAGAAAACTCATTAGAATTCATTGCTTTAAGCCTTACCCAACTGAGTGTTTTGCTAGGCTTAATATTTTTAAAATATACAAATCTAAAGTTAAAACGATTATAATTTATTGATAATCGAGAGAGAAATAAATGGATAAAAATTATAGAATAAATAGTGGATTACGAATTGATTGTGGTTGAATTTGATAAAAGACAAGATCAAATCATTATCAAATAAATCAATGAAGGAACCAAAGAAAAATTCTAAATTCATGATAACTAAGATTTGAGAAAAATTTTGAGAGATGTTTAAAATTTGATATTATTTTAGATGACAATAATCAATAGTGGATCTTCTCATGCTAAATTGAAAAAAGATTCTTTAGAAATGGCAATTCGAGATTAATTTTGCTGTAATTTTGAGTAGCTAATACCATCTTATGATGTGATTTCCAATATATTAAAGTAGGAATTCAGAGTTAAACTAATTCAATACATTCTTCAAGATGTTTAATGTGTGATTTTAGCTTTTGATAGTTAATCTAGGCAGGAAATAAAATAAACATTATCAAACCAAAAGTTATAAGAAAGTTTATTTATTTAATGCTCTTCAAAAATTCTTTCTAGCATCTGCGCTTATAATAATAAGTTACTTGTACTACAATAGATTGTTAATTTACAATTTTATAGGATTTGGTTGGATAACAAAAATTTTGTTACATAAAGATCTTAAATGAAAATGCCATACTTAATTTAATAATTATAAAATACATTATCAAGACAAATTATTTTCAAAAACAGTTTGGAATTTAATGATTCTTTTTAATTAAATTTAAGAGCATTACAAATGGTTTTAGTTGGATTAACATAGTTTGTAGATTCAGACTTTCAAGTAACAATTAAATTGAGTAATAAGATTCTATTTAGACATCTAACCTTTAAAATGGAAACAAAAAAGGTATTATTTTCTAGTTAAATCTGTAATTTGATAAAAAGATAGTTGGATTTTGATGATAAAAATTGGAAAAAAAATAAATAAAAGATTTTGGAATGCATTCAAATTTTATCAGAAAAAAGAAAAATAAGCGAGGATACCATTTTGTTTTCTTTAATTATGTGTGAGTATATTCTTTATTCAGTCTTTAATTAAAGTACTCTAAGATTTTAAACAAAAAAAGATAATAGATTAAAAGTTTCATTTGAAATTCTTATTTGATTGAATGATTTAATTATATCTTTTTTAACTTCCAATCATCTAAATTCTTATTCATCAATATACATTATTCTCAAAAATTCTAATATTTTATTGATCTTGTTCTACTTATTCGGAATTATGTTCTTCATTTCTCTCTATTCTTCCATGAAATTTTGATATGAGTTATTGTTTAGAGTATTTAAATTTTTGATCAAGTTGATCAATAGTTGAGAAAATGATCGAAAAGAATAGATAACATATTTTAGATAGGGATAATAAACTTCCCCATACAAATTTTACTAATGTTTGGATCAATTACTTTGCATAATTCACAAGAGTTCAATAATATTATTAATGTAGTATAATTTTTGCTAAATTTAATTAAAGTCACGTAGTTTGTGAAATTAAAAGAATTAAGAATTAAGAATTATTCTTTATTATATATTAAATAGAATCATTATTATGATATTATGTCAGACTTCCATATAATCTCTTGATATTACGTAATTTAATAAATTCGATTATTAATTTAAAGTAAATCGATGATATCAAAGATTTGTTTTAGTACAAATATGAATATATAATCATTTGATTTCAGCTGTTTTAGTTTTTCTCAAAGTCATTTATTGTTCCTACATCACTATTTGAGGGATTTGAGATCTTCTCCTATTTTTATCAACTTAAATAAATTGATCTACTACTCTAAATTAAACCCACGCTTTCCCTTGCATTAATTCGTCAAGCTACTTATAGAACTTTTGCTATACTTCCTCATTAATTTCCTATTCAGTATATCCAGTTTTCTTTACTATTTTCCAAAATGTCAGCCACTCTTAAATAGTGATATCACCCGAATTATCAAAATCTACTGCTTTAAATAAAGCTTCAGTATTAATTTTAGCAAAGTTAGATTGCCTTAGAGAGAAATAGAGGGAATATATACCAAAACTATTGAGTGGTCTTTTTGTCAATCACTCCTTTATTCTCTTTATCAATTTTTTAGAATATTTAAATGGCTTTTAATCTAAGAGATGCTGATAATTCAGTCTCATGATGCATAGACGAGCATAACCCCATAAATTTTAATTTATATAATAATGTTAATATATATATTGGAACAACATTAAAAATACATATTAAATTTTATTGAATTGAATTCTTAAAGAACTAACAAAATTGAATTTCAAAAGCAAAAGATATAAAGATTTGTTCATGAGATAATTCAAATAGGAAAAAATGCATTAAGATAATTAATGATTATTAATATCAAAAGTAGTATATAAATGATTGTAAAAACATATTGATGTTAAAATAAATTAAGTTGGTTTGGAGGTTAGATAGAAAATATTTTAATATTCATTTGATAGTTGCAACTTAAGCTTTTATTTTTTATAAAAAGAAACTTTAAATTATAAAAATATATCTAATTTTGATAGATCATTTTATAACTTTAGGTTTTTATATTGAATGGATGCAGATGATGCTTATAGAGATCATTAAAAGTATATCAATAATAATGGTAAAAAATTTGATAGTAAACGATTTATTTTATAATAAATTTTTCGAGGTGATCATGAATTTAAATAGATTTTATAAAACATTAATTCTATCATTATTTGAATATTTATGAATTAGCATATGTATATTTGTCAAATGTGCCTAATTTCATTGTATTTATGGGAGTGTCATTTATTTCTTCCTCTGTAAAGATTGGATCAATGTTTTATAAATCTAATTCATCTTTAAGTTTCGGTATAAATTATGGTTTAATTTTTTTGTGATATACATCTTCCCAAGATAAGGAATTAAAGAAAGGGTGAGTTTTGATCTAATCAATAGTAATCCTTTTTGTAGCATCATTTATCAAAAGCCCAGTGAGTAGATTGGAAATTTCTTCAGAAAACCAGGGTTTCATTTCTATTTTCTTTTCAAGTCTATTTCTGAACATCATTCCTTTATCATTGGAGTAAAATGGAGGGGCTCCAGCTATCATTTCATACATGAGTGCCCCAAGACTCCACCAATCTGCTGATTAATCATGGCCTTAACCTAACAATATTTCAGGGGCTAAATATTCGGGAGTACCACAGAATGTGTAAGTTCTTTCTCCTTCCTTTAGATTGATTCTGGAGAGGCCAAAGTCTGTTAATTTCAGATGTCCATCAGTTCCTATCAAAATATTTTCTGGTTTTAAATCTCTATATATAATGCCTTTTTGATGAAGATAATCAAGTGCCAAGATTAATTCTGCTGCGTATAATTTCATTCTTTCTTCTGAAAACTTTTTTGATTTTCTTAAATGGTAGAATAATTCACCTAAAATGAAGATGAGAATTACCTCCGGCAAGAAAATCTGTAACTAAATATAATTTTTCAGGAGTTTGGAATGCAAAATGTAATTTGACAATAAATGGATGTTGAGCAACTTCCAAAATTTATCTTTCGTTCATAGTGTGAATTTATTATCCTTTTTATTAAATGATATCCTTCCTTAGTATTTTCATTGCATAGTATTGTTTTGTCATTTTATGCTAAACCAACATGACCTTTCCAAATGATCCTCTCCCAACAACCTTTGAATTATTAGTTATTAATTTACTTTGTTAAATATAAAATCTTCTAAACAGACGAGATTCAATTAATCATTGAGTTTTATTTGTTAAGCATCCACTGGGAGTGTATTACAAGAACCTGGTTTAGAATCTTCAATTTAATTGTCTTGATTCTTATCTTCTTTTTGAAAACAAATACCCATTATGGAATAATATATTCAATTAAATAATTGAGAATAATATGAAAATATAGCATATAATTATCTGTACAAGCAAGCTCCATTCTTCCTATAATGCATGTCTTCCCTATTCTAATGATTAAGTATGACTTTGTTTCTTAATCCGAATTTTTGAGTTCTATTAGCATTTCTTAATTGTTCATGCAATTTAGCATTGATGTCTTCAGGAATGTAGGGATGCTGAAGGCGATTGTTCACTTAAACTTCATAAGGCAATTTATATATAGTAGTATTAGTTAAATCGTATTGTCTTCTCTCCTTAGAGTATGTCGATTAAGATGAATTTACAACTCTGAATTCATCTCCCTTTTTATTATTATGATATTTAATAAGCTTTTAGTATTTAGGAGTATTTATTTAATATTGAAATTCCTCATTTTTCTATAATATTATTTCTATTTATTCCGTAACTGTATAGATAACTTACTTCTTAACTTAATCTCCTCGTATTGAGTTGGGATTTCTACACAACAATTCATTTCTACTTAAAATAGGTAAATTCATATAGTTTAACAGTTAAGGACAGAGAGTCTTGATCTCAATGTTATTCTTCTTCAATTAATCTCGCAAGGATTCACAGCTAAATTATTTAATGGGCGATTCTTCAGATTCCAATATGCCTAACAATCCTCTCTAATGGAAATAAATCTATTCTTCACTTTATCCTAAGTAATAATAATTTAAGGCTAGTTTTTCATAGATCAGTAATTCGTATTCCTTGCTAAGCCACGCATATTACAATGCTTTCTTTAATAATGTTAATGCTTCACTATTCATTTTTATTTCCTAAGCACAGTTAGCCAAACCAATTAATGCTTTTGCTTTTTCAGCGTGATTCTTGGTGAGGGTATTCAAAATTCTCTCAAATTATAAACGTTCAACATACATATTAATTGAAATAGTAACAAGCATTATTAAAATCTTTGATTTTTAGAAGAATCTCGGCAGTCATGCAAATTATGGCTCCAAATTATTGTAAGTTCCCACTGTCCACAATATAACTTAGTTGTATTTTAAATTCTAAACTAAATCATATGATGTTACGATTCATATAAAGTTCTGATTATCTCCACATTAATTCATCAATTATGGGTTTTGTGAACATTTAGTTAATGTTAAGATTCTGTTGCAATAATGTTGTTACATGGACACTTCTACGTTATTGTTTTTATTTCTCTAACAGATCCTTCTGACTCGGATGAGATCGACTATTATCTAAGGATTTGTGTTGAATTGACCGAGATCTCGCCTTATATTAGGTGAAACTGAAACTAGTGCATTTTGTTGTTAGAAATGAATTAGCATTCATTTAATTATTACGTAATTAATAAGTTATTATAATTATACTTCTCTCATTTGAGTTTTAATAAATTACATAATCATTCTAATTATAAACATATTTGAATTGAAAAGTTATAACATTTCTAACATTTCTCTAAGATATCTTTACTTATTTTCTTGATCAATCTTTGTAATATTCAATAATCCTCACTTATGAAATTAATGAAAATGTTAAAATAAATATTTATTATATATAGTAGAAATCCTTATGTAGGAAATGTAATAATTTATAAGAAAAACATAATTAATTTACAAAGATGATTGAAACTGTTAAATAAGTTTTTAATTTATTTTTATTTTTTATTTAAAAATTGCATAAAATCGAATATATGATTGTAAAATCAATATCTGTAAACTGATCCATAACCAAAAGTTGGAGCTGCGTAACTGTAAGTTGGAGCATATCCATAACCGTAATTATAGGTTGGTGCAACAACACTTGTTCTTAAAGGGGCAACTGGAGCAACATAGCTGTAAGAAAGAGGTGATGCATATGACACTGGAGCGGGAGGGGCTCTTCTGACCTTTTAAATGATTGAATAAATTAAATACTTCTCTTTCATATTCTAAATAATCAACTCTTGGGACATTCTTTTCAACAGGAACGTAATCGATTTATTTCTCATAAGACACTTATGGGACGTACTCCTTTTGATATTCAACAGGATAATAATCTGTAACCCACTTTTATTTTGGTACCTAATGTTTTATGTATCTATTTACTTAAAAGGTTCTGACTTCCTCTTCTAATTCAACAACTGGCTTTTGATATGGAACATATTCAACTCTGGATTCTCCTCTGATTGGTGAGTATTGAGGGGCTGCATAAGAAACTGGAGCGGCATATGAGATTGGAGCAGCATAGGAAACTGGGGCAGCATAAGACACTGGGGCTGCGTATCCAACTAATTGTTATTTTACGATAGATTGTTACCTGGCAATGGCCTAGCTATTGATGTTGCTAAGGGAGAAGCATAAGAAACGCCTAATGGAGCATATGAGTACATCTTGTTATAATTATTAAAGTAAATAAATTTTATTGTTGTTTAATTTAAATGTCAAAATTATACTACAAAATAATGAATTTAATTAGTCCAATAGCATATTAGTCACTTTTATTTTATAAAATATTGATAGTAAAGCTAATAAATTTATTCATTTTTTATAATTTTTTATTTCCTATTTCTCCCTACTTTTTATACTTTTGTCAATTGCTATTACTTAATATATATCAATAACTTAGGATATGCTATTTTAGAATCATGCCACAGGATATTTATTTAAAAAAGAATTATGAATTGAATGTTTAACAAAAAGCAAATAAAACATATTTCTCAGAATTTATTGAGCAAAAAAATAAGCTTTGACTCTTAATTAAATTTGATCACTTAATATAAAATATGAGTTATCTACTTCTGAACCTTATCTCCATCAAATATAACGGGAATAAACATGTGAAATACCTAAAACCATATGGAATGAATGGATCAAAATTACTCTTAATGATTAATAAAAAAAAGTTATCTCTTTATATAAAATAGAACTCAATAGGTAATTAAATTATTAAAAGAAATCTATGATCAACTAAACCTTCAATTTCTATGTAGTTTAAATAATTCATACAGTAATTTAGTTACACTAAAAAATATTTTATATTTTATTCAATTAATGTTCCCGAAATTGTCGAATCCAATTTATGATATGGATTTAACTGAAAAAAATAAATATCAAAAAGATCTTATGTTTCTAGATCTCTAAGGACTCAAAATATAGAGACCAGCTCAACCACTTTTTAATCAGCAAATATCTGATAAAAATCAATAAAAGGAGGACCCTTCAATTTTAAGATTAAAGCATGAGAGATTCTATAATAGTTCAGTTCCTTCTCTTCCGCCCTTATATATAATCAGACCGTTCAGAAAAGATGGAAAAGGGGGAGCCTATATTAAAGGATAATTTATAAAAAATAAGTTTGAAAATTATGAAAAGCTATTTCAAAGCTGATCGAAACTAACTAAGATAAAAATCTGATTTCTATATGTAATTGAAAAATGAAATCAATATCTTTTACTTTAATTCCATAAATCATCCAATTCCCTACTCTTTTATTCTAATAATAATCTTAAACTTCTATTTTCCTTCTCTACTTATTCTAATAATGTTTCATAGTATCTCTTTATATGTAATGATTCTTTCTTTTTCTAATCTTCATACATATAATCATCCTAATCTTTTTGTTTTTGGAATAACAAAAGAGTCGATTTCAAACTCTCATTTTCAATTAATAGATGCTAATTAGTTGATGAGAGCTAAAAAAAGAATAAAATGGTTTTATACATCATTTATTTTAAGTGTCACTTATTGCTTAAATTAGAGTAATTGTTCAATCTCACTTAAATTTGAGTCTTAACTTCTTTTATATTATGCAATAGATTCTTCCATCTATTTTATTTATTGTTAAGTGGATAACTGATATTATATTTGTGAATCTTTGAATTCTTTGTTTTTTAGTTCAACAATCAATTTATTGTGATTATTCAATTCAACTATTTACTCATTTTTAAGATTTAATTCATTCACCAACAATGAATTTTCCTCAGTTCTGAAACTTAGAAGCTAATTAGAAATAATAATTTGAAATACTTATTCCATTTCAGCCATTTTCTTAGTCATTAGGAACTTCTATTATTGGCTATCACTAGTATCATTCTTATATAGTATTTGTAAATCTTCTAGCTTAGCTTAATATTGTCTATGTAATTCCTCTTCCTTTAACTTTGATCTTCTCTAAATATTTAAATTTCCTATACATTTATCGATTCTATTTCTCTTTTGAATTTTAAAATCTGATTATCCTTATCTATTATCTCTTACTCCAATTTCTAAATAATGAATTCCTTTTCTTTGATATCATGATCATCGAATAACTTGTTCGAAAATACTTTATCAGAAACATCTATATTTTGCAATCTTTCTTTCAATCTGCTATTCTCAATCACTAACTATTGGTTTTCCATTATTTTTTTCTCTAAATTATTCCTCATATCATCTGTTTCATCCATCAATTATTGTAATTCCTAAATCAAATCATTTCTTATACTTTAAATCCACTTTCTAATTTCAACGCTCTATCCTTCCATTTCTAAATCTCACCTTCTGCATCAGATGTCTTGCTGTTGTGATTATTGTAATGCATTCAATTAATACAAAATTTAAAAAGCTGTTAAATAAATTATTTAATTATGTGATCTAAGAACCCTTACTCAACACTTAACTCAAATCTAGAAAATCAATAATTCTTAATATAAATATAAGATGTTCATCTCTAAATTCAATATTCAAAAGTAACTCTTCAAATTTCCTTCAGTAATGAAGTTAACTCAAAATATATATACAAATTAAGAATTAAAATTGAATTAATAGATTGAGAATTGAGGTAACATATAAACTCATTGTCAATTATATAAAATGTTGAATGCTTAGACCCCATCGGAAAATTGTCTAAACATATCGTATTGAAAGAACCGTCTAATTGTAATTCTAACATCGTCTGATTATACAATTTTTTCAGTAACAAAATTTAACAATTTCAGTAGTTCATTATCATTTTTATCATCGATATAAGGAGCTATTGGAATTCCATTATATGGCTAACCCCTAAATCAGTTAAACTAAAGAGATTACATATAAAATATTGGACTGTTGTCTATTATTACTATGTTTGAGTAGTCGTTTGTTAAAATTCCTAAATGTTTGAGTTAAATCCTGCTTTATAGAGTAATGCAGTGATTTCTACAAAAATGCCCTTTAAAGAATGCGCTTTCTGGATCAATGAGATTGATTATCTGTATTAATTTAATAATATTTTTACAGTCTTTGCATATTTTTAATTAGCAGAAGTAAAAACAAATAAATCGGCCAATAGACTCAATTCTTTTAGCACATGGCGACAGTAGGGTCTGATAAAAACTCCGAATTCATTGTTTTGATAATCATATACTTTATCCTTTTGTATTGGTTCCGTATGAATGAGAGTCTCATCGAGATCAAAGGCTATTTTTAACTTTTTTTATGATTTCCCTTAATATAATAGAGAAACTTCAGGGATAAATTCTTGATATGTAATCATCATATGTATTTAATTAAGAGCATCCCTACCCATTTTTTTTAAAGGTGAATTATCTCTTAGGTCACTCATTAAAATTTCTTTTATTTTATCAAAAAAGTAGTTCCCATGATGGATTTTCTTTATTGTAATATGATTGTTCAATGTGATTTTTCTTGTGAATTGAGCGGATCTACTTGTAATAGTCTATTTTTATTTTGCTTGTTCTTCTTTTTAAAATGAAGGATCATCGAGACCATCTACTTTTAAAGAGTCCAATTTGATTCTGGAAACAGTTTGATTGCCTATTTTGGTTTGTTTCTGCGTCGAAATATTTGATTGTGTTCGATTTCTGTTCAATTATTGGGCTAATTTAAGTAATTAGGGCTAGAATGGGTTTATTATATGAGGTACATCTCTTTGCAATAATTTCAATTGTTCCGAATTCACTCTATTCTTTTATAAACTAAGGGCCTTTGTATTCATATATTTTGGTTCTGAAATTCTAAAATATTTGATTAATAAATAAAAAAACAGCTCTTAGTAATCTCAATTAATAATCAGTATTAATTAATCTTTACCTATACTTGTTATGTTTAAAAATATCTTACCTATGTGTTTTCGATGATTTACAAAACTATTGTGAATGAACTTCCATGAATTCAAATAATTTTGTAGGTAAAAAAAGGTTGTTTTTAAAGGAACTTTGATAATAAAATAGGAATTTTCTGATAAAAAAATATAAAATAACGTTGAGAAAATTGAATATTTATTGAAAATTACATTATAATCTCAATATAAATGTTTAGTGTTATCGGTTTTATTAAAATTTAATTGATAATATATATACTTTTCATATAATTCAAAATAGCATATTAGGAAAGAATTATTCTTTAAATTTATTAATTTCTTCTTCAATTTTACTTAAACTTATGGTCGCAGTTTGCAGATAAATGACTCTTTTGTCCACAACTTTTATGCCAACAAACCACATACCAGCACTTTAGTTAATTAATTTAAATACTTTCTAACAACGTATTGATTACAATGGTTTAGCTTTTCATAAACTTGCTATAAGATCCTTAAATTTTCAGAAGATAATTTTTAAATATTCAACTAATTTGAAACTTTTGATGCCAAATTTATACCATTAAAATAGATGTATCTAATACTATCTTATTTTTGATTTGCTTCAATATAAGGTCCGAATTAGACTGATAAATTATCAACATTCCTTACTAAGGCTTATGTAACATTATTCATATTCGATAGATCTTTTATTAAATCAGAGATCAATATAACAAATAATTACTTGTCCAAAAATGTGAAAAAATGTTTTTGTTATTAATTTAGGTAAATAATTTAAGGGCTAAAAGAGGAATCTATTGGTAAATTTTTTAGATTGTTAAAATTTAGATATGCAAATTAAGACTACTCATAAGATAGAAATTGTTTTTGGGCAACTTTTTATTCAGCTGTTTACCAAGACAATCCATTACCATAATAATGCTCCTTAAGTAAAAGTGCCTTTTTATGTGGCAGGGTCGAATACACAAAGTATCCATTATAGAACACTAAGAAATCAGTTATCAAAGATTCCAATTACCTTAGCATTGATAACAAGTATTGGAGTAATAAAAATATACTTCCATCAAAACTATATCTAAAGGATTAAGTTTAAAAATAAAATAAATTTAGTTATGGACTTGTCCTTGCATTGCATTAAATCCATCTCCAAGTGTACTAATCTAATTATGAAAGATCAAATCCATAAAACAAAGAAAAATTATTTATATAATTCTCAGCAACATTTGTATATAAGTTTTTTGACAAACTATAATGAAATTTATTGCATTCGCTAAAAAAGTAATCCTCCGTAATGACTTTCACTTTGGGTATTTTTTAATGAGCTATAGTCATAAACAGAAAGAGATCATCTCTGATTTAACAAATTATATGAGTCTAAGATTCCAGGTGAATTGTCTAAAACTTTAATTCATTCTCCTTATTGTCTTATTACCCCTGCTTTTGTATACTTTATTCATTTGGATTGAATTGCTTGAAGAAGACAAATATCCCTTCAGCCATGCCTGTTTGTATTCTTTTTTCCTCAATGTTGGCATTCTAAGGGAAATAGTAAATTAACTTTGCATCTTGTTGATCCTTGGTTTATTTTAATCAGATTACTTGCTCAGATGGCTTTGGAACTGTAGGGATTGCCAAAGGATTAAACATGAATAAGGCTTTCAACTAGAAATCGAATTAAAGTTGGTCCTAATTCATCTATTTAATAATTAATCAATTGATTTAATATAAATATATGGATATCATTTTATTAACATGCTGCATACAGGGCAGACAAAAGAATGCTGTATGTGATTTATTATGCACTCATAATGAAATGCATGGTTAGCCTTGCATTCTAATTGGATAATGCATTCTTTGATCTAAATTGGATGTTAACATAATTAGCAATTTTCATAAATTTAATCAGAAACCATTGACTTCTTCCTTAATCGCTTTTAGAGAATATGTCGATTAAATCGCTTAGCTAATTTTCCTATTGATATTAATATTACGATAAACGGAAACAAAATTGGCGTGATTAAAATGTATGAATATTTTTTTATATACTAAATATTTCTTTTGATTGAAAATCCAACAAATCCAATCATTATTATTAATTCGTCAATCTAAAAAGAATTTTATTAACAATTTATTATCAATATCAAAATTGCAGAAAGTAAAAGAATAAAGTCTAATAAGTGTTCAATTGTTTGGAAAATTTATTGACTAAAATCTAACTTAGTAAGTAATTCTGGAAATAAAATTCCTTCATTTATATGGGTTATCTCATTGACTGATGTCTAATTCTCAATCCCAGTCAAATCTTAAAGTTCTAAGTCATTTTCCTACTTTTAAATTACATTTTTCCAAAGTGCAATTATTATATGGTTTTCATTGATGAGCCGAATCTATTGGTTGATTAGTATTGCTTTTAGCAAGTGCAAAATGAATAATGAAGTTATCCATACATTATAGCAAAAGTGTAATTTAATGTGATTTGACTCCGAATCATTAAAGTTCCCAAGAAAGATTACAACAATTATAAAACAAAAAAGACAAGAAAACTTAAATTACTTATTGATCTATTCTTGAAAATTATGAATTTTTTCTTCAAATTGCTAGTTAAAGTCTTGTTTTATCAATTTTAAGGTTGCCGAATCATGTTACATGATAAAAATTAATAATAAATAATATCATTTCGTTTTACGTATAAGAAAGATGAGTGCAAATATCAACCTAACAAGAACTAAATGGATATATTCATTATATATATATATTCATTATATTTTTATATTTAAGTTCTAAGAAGATGAGTTTCCATTTTAGTCTTCTATTTAATAATTGAATACTACTAAGTGATTAAACAATATCAAATGCCAGAACTATAAACAAACATAATTATTAAATTTCATAGAATTATAAATTTCTCAAATTTTTAATATTATCATACTGCTAAAAGCACTTATTTATATTCATTTCTGTGTGTCCATATTTTTATGATTAAATCATCTACAGAATTTATTATTTAATATTAGTATTATTTCAGTATTGTAACTATAATCAAACAGATCAAATATGAGAAGAGTTTAATCAGCAGCCCCTAATTTAGGTAAAATACTCGTACTATCAATAGAATTTTCAATGGAAGATATGTTCAGAATAGCTACAAAACAAACATCTGCTTTTGGTATCGAAGGATATGAAGTTCCTAAAAAATATGCCGATCCACTTAAGCAAATGGAAGATAGAAAGTTTTCAGCTTAAAAGAAAGGTAAGCAATCTGCATGTTATTTCAAGGTTAAAAAAATTTAGGCTATGTTACTAAAAGAGGACACTATTTAGAAGATCAAAAGAAAATATATGAGAAACTGCCTGCGCCAAATAAGTACGATATCGTTAAGCCTTGGGTGATTTAGGCTTAGAGCACACGATCAAGGTCAGCTCCACCAAAAAGGTAGTTTTATTTGATAATTTTTAGAACAACTTTCATTGATTAAATATTCAAGGAAGCTAAATTAAGAGGAGTTCCAGGTTCTGGAAAATATAACGTTGAAAAACCATTGGATGAAGTATTGAAACAAGTAGAAGAATAAAAAAAGAAAAAAATTGAGTATTCTCTAAATATTATTATTTTTAGAGCAGGAGAGAGACCTACTTATTTAAATGAAATATAACACTTAGCTGTAATTAATCCAGGTCCTGGAAATTATAATCCAAGAGTATTATCATTATATTAGGATAGCCAATTTCAAAAAAGTTAAAAAAAAATGAAACCAAACCTTCTGATTTTATAACAAAACATTAAGAGTAAGCTAAAAAAAGGGGAAAATCGGCTTTACCTGATGTAGGCTCATATAATCCAGAACCACTTTCATTTACTACGTTTAATAAATTATAAGTAAATACAAAAAAAAAGGAAAGAGTAGATAAACATGTAAATATGAATATTTATCAAGACTTTTGGAACCGATGTGAGGTTCAAAGATCCAAAAAAGAGTAAATCAAAATAATCCTTATTACCTGGACCTGGATAATACCCGTTAATTGTCTAATGGCAAGGTAAAGAATAAGACAAATCCAAAGCAAAGATAAAAAGTTATATGCAATCAACTACTAAGGGAATACAGCGATCAATATATTATTGACATTACGATTATATTTTTCTAAAATTCAAATATATTTTCCTATTATTAGTTGAATAACATATATATAGGATTTTCTAATTTCATTTATTATTGATAGTTTGTTGAAAATTTCAATTACAAATAGAAAAACTAGTTTGTTTGAAATCAGATTCGAAATTGAAATATGTGAAAATTATCATTTATTCTTGCGAATTTATACTTTAATTTAAATAATAAAAATTTCAAGAATAATTATTAATTTCAATTAAGTTAAAGTTAGTTAATTAATATCTATAAAAATTATTAATTTAATTTCTTAATCATAGAATTTATAGAAGAAAAAGTTTTTAACTACAGCAGTCTTATCACTCAATCGCAATTAACAATTCTATATCTTGACCTTAGGATTTAAAACTTATTTGATAATTAAACATACATTTTAAATATACAATAATAGTAGATATGCAAAATTTAGGAAATTCTCAGACTTAATTTTTGAATATCTTAATATAATATTTATAATAGTTGTTTATTCAACTCAAATGCATATGAATATAAAAATAATTAAAATTCTATTAAATGTAATTCAATATAACCAGCATTTATTCATATGAAAAAACTTAAATATCTCCTTGGCTTCTTCTAATTTTCTTTAATCACCTTATCTATGGCATGAACGACCGTAAAGACATGGAATTACATCTGAAATTTATTTAGGATATTCTTTCTTTTTAAAACCTATTGATTCATAGATCATCATTGATTAAATCCATCTTGATGTATACCTAGTTTCATCCTCCAATCTCAAATTCAACAATTCTAATAATATAAATAACTTATGAAAACAAATTAGGACTTCCTCTTCATAATCGTCTATTGTAATTTCAAGTAAATCTGGTAATTATTGCCACATTGTATGCCTGAGAGCAAAGAAGTCCTTGTTTCTTAAGGCTTCGTCTTTTTCATTTATAAAATTGATGATTGAGGCAAATCTATGCCCAGCTAATTAGGATTTTAGGATATCAATTGCTTATCTAAAAAAATCTCCCAATTTGAATTCATATCCTAATTTAACAAAATGCATGGTTTCTTGAAACAAAATTGCAAATAAATATAAAGTAAGATTCGAGTTAGGCATTTATCTAATAAGTGCGATATTTTTACTAAAAGTTTCAACGCATTCTAAATTGTTTTCCTAGATTTGTGATTAAAATATGTGATGGAAAAGAACGAATTAGTTATAGATGCAATCATTTTCTATCAACTAAATTGCCTTATAAAAATAATGCTTAGCTTTTACGAATTCTCTTTTGTGAACCAGAAATCTTGAATAGCAATCATAAATAATCCAATTAAAATAATATCCTTCAAGATTTGACTCAATAAATTGAATCAATTCTTCAATGAATAATTAATAGATATCATTATACTACACTATTTCGCAATATATCCAACCCTAATAAAATATTGCATATTTATCGTAATTGAATTGCTACATACCCTTGAAAATGTTCACACCCTCTAAAATGAAATCCTTATCTGAATCCAAGTAAAATATTTTAATGTATTTTGAAAAATCTAATTTGATAGGTTCATATTAATTGTCAACCTTTTTCTTCCCAAATGAATGGAGCCCATCAAAAAATAAGTTACTCTGTCGATGATAAATTGTATTTAAAATATTCTTAGATTTGTCTAACCAAATTGAATCTATCAATATAAACTTCCATTCAATTAAGATCTAAAACATATCCTTATAATTGATTAAGTATGGTATGATTTCTTCTCTAATGTTTATCCATTGACCATTCAATCGGGCCTTCAAACAAATAAACTTCAGTAGCATTTCATCATTCTCTAATTCCAGCTCATTTTAAATACTATTTATAATCTCCTTAGCCTGTTCCCATTAGCCAATTATGTAGAGTAACTCTGCCTCCTATAATTTTAAATTGCAGTTCGGTTCATTTAAAGTTGCTTGATAACCCTAGCAAAGCATCAATTGTAGCAACTTCTAACCTTTCTTCTCCAAAACATCATAGTATAGGTCATATTCAAACTTAGTCAAATCCTCAAAAGATATTTCTTCAAAGATCTCCTCTGCTGAAACACGATTAGAGTATTTATCTACAAAGGAATCCAAAATCATAACCTATCTTAGTTTTTCTTAACTATCAGAAAAATCTTAAATGGCTAAATTCAACAGACATTGAGTCCAATAGATCATATCTCTATTATAAGGTAAACTTAATGACTACTGGTATACTTTATAATAGAAACTAAGTTTGTAATTCTTTTCCAACTTCATTTTGATATCTTCAGTGCTTGAAATTGGCTCCTAAATTACTGTAGCTCTAATGTATTTTTGTTATAGAAATTATGATCTTATTTTGAAATAATCTTTATTATAAAGTGAATCAATTTTCGGATGCACCATTTTCTATTGATCTAAAATCTATTATAAATCATTAATAGTATCTTCAGGATAGAGTATTTAAAGCATTGTCAATTGAAATGCGTAGATGTCCTTTTTAAACAAATTCATTTTGAAGATTCTTAAATTGTTTTTCAGAGCTCCTCTTACTTATTTTTACATGTAGGCTCTAGTTCCCAAAATAGGATATTCACCATAAGGAGTTGTGTATTGAATTGCACATCCAAAATCAGCTAAAACCCAGCCATTATTCTATGTATTTATAATATTTTCTAATTTAATGTCGCTATGAGCAATTTTTAGAGAGTGAATTTTTAAAATACTATCTAAAATACAATCGAATAGATTATTAAATTGAAGTTCTGTAAATTTCTTAAATTTTATTTAATATTCTTTTAGGCTTCCCAATCCCAAATCTAGATATGCATACATTCGATAAGTGTTCATAAATTTTAAGCTTATAATTATTTTATTTTGTATCTAGATGATGCACTCTGGGAAATGGACAGCAATTTTTTTTTAAATTTTAAATTCTTCAGCCTGCATAATTACTTAATCGAAATCACAATTCTCTTATACTTTCAAGGCTGCTGGCTAATTGTTATTTGGATTTACAGTTGAGTACACAGAACCATAAGCTCCTTAACCTAACAATAACCCATTTTCTAGAATAAAATTGGCCTCTCTGCTCTTGCCATCATGCACTTGGTACTCATTATAAGCGAATACATCTGGATATTGTTTAAGTAATTGAAATATCGTTCTCTCTAATAAGGATACATTATTGTTGATCTAACTTCGTTTTTCATTTAATTATTCAAAATAATCAATTGTTAGTGTTTACTCTGATTATTTTGATTGATTTTCTGAATTATTCATTTAATAAATATTTTTGAACTTTATTAAATTAAAACTTATTTACTAAAACTGTCCTTAAATTAAGAAATGAAATTAAAAGATATAAATATGCAGATTATATATTCAGTTCGATTTTATTCAATTGAGAAAAATTTATTATTAATAAATTTTCAATTTTATCAAACTATTTTAATCTTATTATGCTTATCTTATCGAGATCTAAAATGAACTTAATAAATTACCACTTTTACAATGTAGAAAAAATTTATTGCCATTAATTATTATTCATAGTTATTAGATTATACATTTAGATTCTGGGTGTGTAAATTCAACATCAACCTCTGTAAACATATTATCATAAATAAACAAATTAAATCTTGATATTTACACTAATATTAATTTCAATAAATTTAACAGCAGCAACCTTCAGAGGATCTTTCAACCTCTTTGATTGGCTGAGTTTACGATTACCCTTAATTCCCTGCTTTATTGCCAGGTATATTTCCCATCGCCTATTGAAAATCGTGTAGTGCTTATTAGGGTTTCCCCATTTTTTATAAAAGTGCCCCTAGATATAGAAAATCGAAATTACCTCTAGTGAGATAAAATATTGAATTATTTTTATCAAGTTCAATTGCTTTATTGAAATCGTGAAGACTTTGTTCTAGCTTCCCAAGCTTTTAAAATAGTAATCCTTATTAAATATATGATATCAACTACCTCTATTAAAATAGGGCAAAGTGTTGTTTTAATTTAATTCGATAGATTTGTTAAAATCTTTTAGAGATAAATCAAACTTACCTGTATCCTTATAAAGTAAACCTAATATAGAACTACTTGTACCTCTGTTATTATAGGCTAAATCGCCACTAGGATTAATCTCTATGGATTTGTTATAATCCATGAGTGCTAAGGTGTTCTTGTTCATATCACTAAATAAGGCCCCTTGTTAAGCAAATCTATACCTCTGTTATTATAAGCCTGCCAACAGTTTTTATCAATTTCTATGGCTCTATAATAGCACTTTAGTGCTTCCTCCTAGCGATGTAGGCAAACCAAGGCTAGGCCTTAAGATAACAAGAAGCAAATACCTCTCCTAACATATACTAAAGGGAAGTTTGGATTTATTGATATGGAGCTGTCACAGTCATTCAAAGCTGAATTAAAATCTTTCAATTTCAAATGACAATTAGCTGAAACTTTAATGTATACAGTACATCTATGATAATACCCATCTGAGGACTAGGGATCTAATTCTATTGCCTTTCCTCATTCATTGTATTATATATAAATTAATGAACAATTATAAACCAAACATACGTTGAGATAAATATTCACTTAATACTGAGACTTTAGTAAAGTTTGAAATATTGAAAAAAGTATCAGTACAAATAAGTAAAGTTACATTAAAGGTGATGCGATATTGATATTTATATATTTGTACTTGACAATTAAAAAGAACGAAATAAAGTTTTAATTTATATTCATCTTGGTACTAACTATAATAAAATAAAACGCTAATATTATCAACTCTGTAGTTAAATACGAAAGTTCTCCGACTTGATTAATAAATAATCGAAATATTAAAAAATTATAGCAAGAGATAAATAAATTAATGTTCTCTATTTATATGTTATACAATTTTGACTTCATTTTAAAAATTTCAATTACGTCCCAGGATTTAATGTATTCTTCGGATAGAGCAATTTTTGAGTAGAAATTAATTTTTTTTTTTTATTCCACCCATAACTACGAATAATAAACACATTATTACTTGAAGTCCATTTTCTAAAGATTTATAGCAATTAAATCCAAAATTTTAAGATTTAGAAAAATCGTAGGTTTTACAATAATTGTTCTTGATCTTCAATTGATCTCCTTGATAATAATTTTGCTTAATTGCAAAACTTGGGGATTCTCAACCTTTGTAACTATGGAATAATTAGACTTCCACCAAGTTTATAATCATTTTTGTAGAAAATATAGCTATAATAATGGCCAAATGATGCTCTACCATCATGCTTAAGTACTGCAGTTAAGTGATACATATTTTAATCTGATTTCAATAATAGTTTCTTTTCTGATTAAATTTATACTAATCTATCTTATAGCAATTGAATTGATTTCACGAACTTATTTCTATAATTTTTCAAGCTGAAATTGCAATTGTTGATTAGAAATTAATAATTGATTCAAGTGCGTGAATTGATAATTTCTTATTCGTATTCTTTTTATGTTAGAATTTCCTTGAATTCTCCATAATATGTTTAACAAAACTATTTCTTCAATTTCTCTAAGGGTTTATTCGATGACTTCCAAAAAGGCATTTGTAATTCTTTAAAATCTTTCTATATACCCTATTATCAACATGCCATACACTTTGATATTGCTTTGAATAATTTGATGGGATTTATTTAAAGAATAATAATTTATGTGTAATAATAAAAATCAAGCAGATGTATAATTTCCAACTTAATGTTCAAGTTCTGCTACCTTTTAAGTTGCTGCAATTATCAATTGCTAGATTTGAGATTTTTCTTTTTTTAATTCTGTGATTTAGCTTTGCAATTTAGAGTTCTCATCTTTTTGAGTGTTAATAGCCTAGTTATGTTGATAAATTACTTATCTCAAATCTCTTAACATAGCATCTAGAGTTGGTTAAGTTGTATTCTTAATTTCTTCGTTGTTATTTGTTATTCTTTGTTTCATGAGATGTAACTCCTATTTTAATTGATCAATCTCGTGCTTGTAGCTTTATAGTAATTCATTAGATAACTCTGTAACATTCTTTTACTTACACAAGATTAATTACATTAACTAACAATAAATGATTTTTAGCATTAGTGGCTGATTCTTAATCTAATTTCGAACTATGTGGCATTTGTTATTAAATTTCAGACATTTTATTAAAAATATAATCAAATAATTCTTTAAAAAATAAAACTACATTCAACAATAAGAAGAGTGGAAAACTTTTATTTTCTTTTATTTTAAAAATCATAACTTTATTTATATTTTTGACATTATATTGTCAAAATCAAAGGCATAATTGGAATTTTTCTAGTGACTTTTTGCTTGATGAATCTCTTTTATCCTATTTATCCTTTTTTTCCTTTTAGTCTTTTTTTTTTGATTGATCTTTTTAAGATTTGCTTTTTGATTTATCTTGACCTCCTCTATACCTGACACCATACTAATGTTTTTTATACTGTTTATCTGTTTAGAACACTTTTTTACAATGATCACAAGTTAAGGATACTTTCATTTTATTAGATTTTTCAATGGATTTGCCTATTTTCAAGATAGTTTTTTCTTAATTCTATTTCTCTTCTTCTTTTTCTTCATATTGCTATACTCTTTTTTCAATTTATGGTTGAAGATTTGTCTCTTCTGGAACCCTAGAAGTTAGATCTTCTATAGTTTGAGATTATCTTTCAACTTTTTCATTTTCCATTTATCCATTTTATCCATCGTTGTATGTAAATTGAGATTGCAGTGAATCTATTTGGGAGGAGAGATCTGCGCATTTTTCATAGAGCATTGCAACTGTATGAAAATGTTAGGTTAATGGAATGTATTTCATTTAAATAATGATTGTTGGGTAGAAAAGGAAGAACTTTTAATTCCCTTTTTCCTGAAAATAATTTTTCAAGTAAATTTTTGAGGGATATTATAAAATCAAGAGAACAGGTAATGTTTAGAAGGATGGCTAATTATTAACAAGCTTATTTGAAAAAGAAAAAGGATTTTTAAAAATAAATAATATAAAAATTAAGTTAAAAAAATCCAAAATTTATAGTTAAGTGAATTTTTCATTTAATTATTTAAAGTTTTTATTTTACTTCTTTTATTTTAGTGAATTCTGCCTAAACTCTTTTTTTCCATAAATCTTCATTCATTTCCAAAATTAATAACTTCTGATCAACTTCATCTTTTAATTTCTCCTCCTTTTCTACCTTGAGTTCTTTGAATGAAATGAGTTTCTCCTTTATCTAAAGCTATTGCTCCTTTTCCTTTAATCGATTTTATTTTTCTTATTCAACATTAACTATCTTCTTCTCCTTCAATGTAATTCTATTTTTAAGAGATTGAATATTTTCAACTTCCACTTGTAACTATTCTTGTAATATTAGCAATTAAGATTGTCGTTCTTTGAGTAGAAGCTTGTCTTTCTCTAGTTTCTGCCAATCATTTAACAGCTATTTTAATAAACACAGATGCATACTTATTTTTCCTTTGACTTAATTTCAGTCTCATACTGCCTAATATTTTACATGGCTTCCCTTGCTTCCTTTAAGTCACAGATCATTTGATTTTGAGATTTCTCCAATCTTTGAATCTCCTCATTCAACGACTCCATCTTTTTGAACTTAAATGCCAATTCTTCTCTATAATCTTCTTTCTCTCTTACAACCTTCTTTAATTGATGTTTTAATTCTTCATTTTCTTCTTTCAATTAGACCGTATCTGATCTAAGTCCTTGATTGTCTTACAATAATTGATTCAACTCAATTGATCGCTTATCCAATAAACCTTTGGTTATTTTGAGTTCCTCTCTTAACAATCTGACATTGGCACTTTCTTGTATACTTAAATAATCAGATGCAGATGTTTCATTCAAATGACTTTATTATTTATGAAATGAATCTCTACTTCGTCTAACAATTTCAGTCTAAGTGGTTTCTAAATAGGAGGAACTACGTTTAGGTTCGGTGATGAGTTTTTTTTAATGAGTGGATATCATATTCTTGATGAAACCAATTCGATCCATTATCTAATAGGAGGGTGTCATATTCTGTTTCATAATTATATTAAATAAGCGTATATGTGTGGTTATTTGAAATTAAATAAAATCTTTTTTTATTATTCATGGGTATTTCAAGAGATAGCAGACACAAAAGAAGACTCACAGGTGGTCGTATGCCAATCCATAAGAAGAAGAGAGCTTTCGAGAAAGGAAGACAAGCTGCTATGACTAAATTGGTATCTGGCGAAAAGAGAGTTAGAAGATTGAGAGTCCGAGGAGGAAACTTCAAATTCAGAGCTCTTCGTTTATCCGATGGAAACTTCTCTTGGGCTAGTGAAGGTGTTGCAAAAAAAGCAAAGATTGTCGAAGTTGTTTATCATCCATCAAATAATGAATTAGTCAGAACCAAAACACTCACCAGAGGTGTCATTGTGTAAGTCGATGCTACACCATTCAAACAATTTTATTTAAAGAAATACAACATCGATTTGGGAGCCAAAAAGACTCAAAAGAAGGTAAAATTGTTTAATTACTCTCCTAGGACTAACCAGCACCTTAAGAAGTCAAGAAATCAAACTCATTAAAAAAGAAACTAGAAGCCAGATTGAAGGATAGAGTTATTGATAATTTAGTTGCTGAATAATTCTAAAATCAAAGACTTCTAGTCAGAATCACATCAAGACCAGGACAATCTGGCAGAGCCGATGGTTACATTCTTGAAGGAAAGGAACTAGAATTTTATGTTAAGAAGGTCGAATAAAAGAAAAAATGAGTTTTTCTCTATTCATAGTACATTAGTAATAGATTTATCAAGTAATATTC